ATAATATTAATTATATGAAAAATTGCATTGTTAGCGCTCTCATTTGTACAATTCTTGACAGATTTTTATGAAACTTATATCAAAGGTTTGTATCAGCAATGTCTCGGGCAAGTTCGAAAATCAATGTCGATCAATAATTTTTAAAAGAGTTATTCCTCTTGGAAACATTAATAATATGGAAAATTGCATTGTAAGCGCTCTCACGTGTACAATTCTTGCCAGATTTTCATGAAACTTATATCATAGGTTAGTATCAGCAATGTCTCGGGCAAGTTCGAAAATCAATGCGATCAATAATTTTTAAAATATTTTTGCCCCTTGAAAATATTAATTATATTGAAAATTGCATTGTAAGCGCTCTCACATGTACATTTTTTGCCAGATTTTTATCAAATTTATATCAAAGGTTTATATCAGCATTGTATTGGACAATTTCAAAAATCAATGCCGATGAAATATTTTTTAATGAGTTATGCTCCTTGGAAATATTAATTATATCTGAAATTGTATTGCATTTACTCTAAAACCTTCATTTTTTTCTAAGATATTTATAAAAAAAAATTAAAGAAATGTATACTTTTGGATAATGACCGCATAAAATATGTGCCACGCGGGGGACATTGGAAGTCTGTTCTTTTATTGTTTATTTTTACTTACCTTGATTTGTCTCTTTTTTCACGTGAGTTTCACTGGTGAGTCTTTTGTAGACGAAACGCATGTCTGGCGTACATAATTATAGCTTGGTATCTTTGATTTGTTTTTTAATCGTTTTATGAAATTTAACATCGGTTAACTACATTTATGCAAATGGCGTTGGAATATATCTGTTGAAATTATTTGTTAAAAAATGTTTTTGTGATGGCAATATCAGAGCCACAGATGAATTGTTGCAAAAAGAGCAAAATACCACCTTCCGTTCTGTATAAATGAGGAATTCAATATTTTTGTGGTAAAAGTCCCATAAATACGGTCAAATCAAAGCGACGGTATATTGTGGTCAACTATGCATGATGGCAAACAATCCTACCAAGAATGAGAGCTTTCTGTCCGATGGTTTTAGAGGATTTGCATTCATATGGGGACTATATTACAAAATTTTAATAATCGTAAAATACCCACAACTACCGTAAAATTGGTCAGACCAAAATGACCGTTTAATATTGTCCACTGCACACGATGGCATACATTAATATCAAGTATGAAAGGTTTTCGTTAAACGGTGTCAGAGAAGTTTTGTTCACAAGGTATCATTGTTAGAATAATAAAAAAATAATGTTCAAAGTCCCATATCTAATTTAAAATTATCAAACTGACGACAAAAGAATATGACGACAAATAATCCTACCAAGTATGGAATATGTGTGTCAAACGGCCACTGAGTATTGATGTGTTTCGAACGGACGGAGACCATAACCATATCCCCTCGGCGGAAGGTGCTATTAAAAAACTTATATGGCTGTGAGAAATAATTACTGTGGTTTGATCGTTTTTCTTTTCTTGCAATGGCATTGTCAGTTTGTTTTCGACTTATGAGTTTGAATATCCGCTTGGTATCTTTCTGCTCTCTTTTATCACACGTATAAGCTCTACGATTCACCATCTTGAATTTGATGATAGATACATTGTTCTAGTGTTTTACCTTATTCAATACGTGTTTATTGTTATGTGGCAATGAAGCGAAGATACCAAGGGAACATTAATAACATTACTTATGTCATATCACTGTTTGCACCGAATATGCATTTGAAGCATTTGAAGCAATCATATTTAACTGTTTAGGTTCTTATACATCATTGGCTTCCAAATATGCGGCTTTGAGCGTTTCTGATGATTTATGAGATTTTTAACATCGGTAAACTACCTATATTTGTAGATGATTTTTTTGCCAAGAAGTTTAATGATTAGTTCACAACCTTGCTTGTATTTCCACTTTGGCGGATTCTTAACTGATCTTCTTATACAAATTTGACTTGTGCACAGTTATGATAGCCATTTTAACGTTAATGTGCAGAAGTTAAATTGGGTCGATGCCAATGCTGGTGGAGATTTCCTCACCGAGGGTATCACCAGCCCAGTAGTCAGTATTTCTGTGTTGACATGAATTAACATTCATATGGACATAATTATAGGCTTTGAATTTTTCGAAATATCATGGATTTTCTAGCCCAGGAATAAATTTGTATTGGATACCTAAGCTTCACAAAATTCAGTACAAACAACAGTACATTGCCGGCTCATCTGGATGGTCTACAAAGGAATTGTCCATTAGATTGACAAAAATTTTGTCCGCAGTGAAAGAGGATCTTCCGAAATACTGTGAAACTGTTTACTCGCGTAGTGGTATTAACCATATGTGAATTCTAAAAAACTCTAAAAAAAACTTCTGGATAATTTTAAATCTCGATGTTTCTCTGAAATTAATTCTATAAAAACTTTCGATTTTTCAACCCTGTATACCACTATTCCCCATGTGAAATTGAAAAATCGTCTAAAAGAAATAATCCACAATGCTTTTCAATATAAGAATGGTAGCATAGGCTATAAGTTTATTGCTTTGGGATACCATACGGCATATTTTGTTAATAATGAACAAAAAGGTAAAAATTGCTAAACAGAGGAACAAGTGATCAGTTTGCTGGAGTTTCTTATTGACAGCATATTTGTTGAATTTGGAGGTAGACTTTTTCAACAAATTGTCGGCATTACTATGAGAACGAACTGTGCGCCTCTCCTTGCCACCTCTTCTTATTTTCATATGAGTCAGAATTCCTTCAGACACTTGTCAAAAACAAGAAGATCAAAGAAGCCAGATCATTTAATTTCACATTCAGATATATTGATGATGTTCTTTCTATTAACAATCCAAACCTTTCTGATTGGGTTCTATTCATATATCCTCCAGAACTAGAAATTAAAGAAACAACAGACACGGCTTCCTTCGCCTCATTTTTTATACTTATATAAATCGAATTTGACATAAGCAGTCATCTCAGTACCAGAATCTATGACAAACGAGACGATTTTAATTTTGAAATGATGAATTTGCCCCACTTTAGCAGCAATATACCAAACTTTACCTGCATATGGGATATACATTTCCCAACTCATTCGATATTCAAGAGCTTGCAGCTGCTACTCAGACTGTATAAAACGTCACCAGTGTCTGAGCAGAAAGTTGATGAACCAGGGTTATGTCAACGAACGTCTCGTCCTCTTTCTAAAAATGTTCATCGGAAGATACCAAGACCTTGTTGATAAATATTCCGTATCAACTTCACAAATAATACATGATGGTCTTGAAGTATAGATTCTAGGTACTGACGTTGTTTATCATCTTATAGTGTTATAGTGTTCTTTTTATTTGTCTTTGAATATTTTTCAACTTTACTGATTAGTCCATTTTTGGTAATATACTTTTGGCGTGGCTCGGTAGTTATACATCCCGCCATTGTGTTATTGTGCTATGGACTTTTTTTTGTATTCTTGTCTTTTATTTTTGCGTATGTACTTTGTCTATAGAGTGTCTATATGCTATTTTGTTTTTTCTTTGTTGAAATAGTTATTTGTTTTATTGTGATTAAGATTAAAACACAATGTCGACTGCTGTACCCCAATTTTTTACATTTTTACCTATTATGTCTGTTTGTTTTCCTCACACATGGTTGTCAATATAATGGACTTTTATTTAAGCAAAAGTTTAACAAGTCTGCTTTTTGTTTTTAAATGTAATCTATTTAAAATTAGGAAAACGTCTCTCAGCATTATGTATTATGTGTTTATTTGTGTCTATAAATGCACATTTTTTTCATCGGAACAGGCCAGTTTTTCATTTTGGTAAACCGTTTATTGATAATAGAAAAGAAGCCTTTTAGTATCGAAGTGCAAAGATGACTTTAAGTGAATTTGGATATTCTTATAAGGTCCCTTTTGAGCTTTCGGCTTTGAGCGTTCCTGATGAAGGTAATTCCAAAAAAGCACTTCAAACGAAGGAAATTAATAGAATGTCGTTTTCAATTTTTACAGCACTGGGTCGTAACTGCTGCCGGTGAATTAACAGTCACCGAGGGAATCATCATCTTAGTAGCCTGCTTCGATACTGACATGATTTATAACAAACCTTTCTCAAGTTGTCCGTTAACAAATTTAGAAATTATTAGAAAATCAAGGTTTCAACTCCCTCAGGCAAAGTTGACCTTAGATGGATTTAGTTATTATTTTTTGGTCCTTTTTGGTCATATAGCTCTTCAACTGTGATGGTTCTCATTCATCATTGGCTTTCAAAAATTCGACTTTGTGCGTTCCTGGTGAAGGTAAATCCAGAACAGATTGTCGGACGCATGAAATTAAAGTGTTTTTTTTTCTTTTTTTTCTATTTTTTTTGGTAATTTAACTTCTAACGTTTTTACATATCTATACATCCCTGTCTACATGTTGTGGTTTTGGCGTTCCCGATGAAATTAATTCCAGGAATGCGCTTCGAACGCACGAAATTGATTAAGTGTTATTTTTACTTTGAGAATTAGTTTACCAATGTGTCAGTCCAAGATAAAATCACTACCCTAAAGCATCATTTAGAAAACTCCCGATTAAGGAACACTTACCTCACTGACTCCTTGGATGAATTCGCAGGTAATATGAGGTAAGCATTTAACATTTAATGTCATGGTCATCGATTTGACGAATCCGCCTCTTAGATTTCTATTGAAATGATAAGCTTCAACAGAGTATAGAGTTAAATCAGGCTTATATTCCCATATTTCAGTCTATAGTTTTCTATGTTTTGTGTACTGTTGTTTGTCCTTTGGTCTTATTCTTTTTTTGCCGTGTCGTTGTCAGTTTGCTTTCGACTTATGAGTTTGAATGTCCCTTTGGTATCATTCGCATCTCTTTTGCAAAGGAAGTCGATTTTATACCAAACATATAATTGTTGCCTTTCATCTATAACTATGTGCCCAAACTCTTCTATAGTATTAGTTTGTAACTAGATAATCAAAATACAATAACAATAAATATAATTTATTTCAAGGATTATAAAGGAACATCACAAAGAAATTTATCACTTGTCACACTGTCCTAGCAAAGGATCATGCAGCACTCAACATTTATTAATTGTCTCTGCGAGCTCTACCATAGCCCATTAATAAATAACAAATAAAAAGTCTATTAACACTATAACACTGGACTAATATAGAGCTATCTTTTCAGAGTCTAGGATAGAGCCGGTCAGATTAAAGTCTTAAAACGTCTTGTGTAGTAGCTGATGTTACAGGCTGTTCGAATAAATGCTATGTCCAAGTCACCTTAGCAGGACGGCAACAAGTTGGTTTGTAAAATATCTGAAAAAGAAGTATATTATGAAAGTAAAGAATGTACTTTCAAGGGTATGCTTTTTAATTGAGATGGAAGATGGAAAAATTGAAATGAGTTCAGTTGAATCTAATATGAAAGACAGATTCAATATAAAGTTGCGATATGTTTCTTATTCTCTTCATATCTCTTTGTTTTTCTCTTATATCAGTTATATTCAATGCGATTTGAGATGAAACTATATAAATATTCCTAATATAAATAATTTATGCTTTTTGTATATATTTCCAAGCACGAGCGATGTATATGTGAATATCTTTATAGCATGTTTATCCCATGTTTTTGTACTCTGGAAAAAGTGTATACAGGATCTTTAAGACTTTTTAAAGTCTTATTTGATTGCCATTATTCGAGACTTTTTCTGAAACGGCTGAAATTACCGGGATAGTTTGTTTATTTTTAATCATGTATAAAACATTATTACTCTTCATAATTTGAAATATAATCAAACTCACAATTTATGCAGAGTTCATACTAGAGGACAATATACTAGTACGTTGTATTGATACAGAGCTACGGTTCTTGGCACGAAGTTTCTGCAGAGCGGTATCGGCACTGTCAGCACGTTCTTCAGAATCCTCCAATTCCTGCTGTACTTTCCTGTATTTAGCCAGATTAACTGCAGCAATTTCTTCCTGTCATGATAGAAAATATATGGTACATTTAAAATGAACAAAATTTAAGAAAAACAAATATGTTCGCTTGTATACAATACATGAAATAAAAATAAGAAAAAGATATCAGAGGCACATTGTAAGAAACTTGTCTATTGTTGAACTTTTTGTTGACGTGTAGATGCATTAGGGTTTTTCTTCGAATAATTTTTTAAATAATTCGTTTTATCTATTTTACTTACGGCCTCCTCTACTTGGCGTTTGTATGTTTTGATTTTAGCATTGAGTGCATCAATCATTTCCTGAAGTCTCTCTTGGATCTTTCTATCTTCATCAGCCTGGAAGGCAATTTCCTTCAATCTTCGATCAGCCTTTCGCATGTTCTTCTGAGTTTCAGCATGACGACGTTGTTCATTATCAAGTTCACCTTCAAGTTCAGTTACCTATCAAAAGCATTATTTTACGCTTATTTTTTTTTATATAAAAATACACAAACATATACTATACTTCTATTTACAATAAGATATATTATTTACAAGAGTGTTATAGAAAAAAATTATCAGCTGTTGCTACTCATATTTGTCTTATTTTACAATTGATCTTCTCTTATTTATTTTGTATTTTTACTAGGTTGTAAGTTAAATTGCATATTCTAAGAAAATACTTATGGTGAAATTTTTAGATATACGCACTCTCTGCTCTAATTTGGCAATTATCTTCTTTCCTCCTTTGAGGGCCTGTCCTTCAGCCTCATCCAGTCTAATCTGCAAGTCCTTAACTGTAGATTCGATAGCCTTGCGTTGTCTCTCTACTTGCAGGCTGTGTTCTTGTTCGTTTCTTAATTCATTGGCAAGTCTTTCAGCATCAGCCGTAGCCTTTCTTGCACGTTCATCAGCGGCCTTAATCTCATTGCTCATGTCATCCAGATCAGTCTTGGTAAAAAAAAAGAAACATACTGACATGGCTTGTCGATAAATGTTAACAGTTGTTCATTTATATTGCTTCTTAACTCTTCTTACATTTAGGATTAGTTTAAACATGGACACAAGCAAATCATACTTAATTAATACCAGCATGATTTTTTTTTCAAAATATACAATACTTTACTAGTTTATTTCAAGCTAGAAAGAAAGGATGAAAAAATGTTTCTGCAAAATTGGCAATGATGATGATGTGAATGTAAGTTGCAATTACGATATTCAGTATCATATAACAAGAAACCTCTCGGACCTTCTAATAAATTATAATACATGTTTAAATATATGGACTGAAAGATCCGGATTACCTGATGTCAGTAACTTAACATTAAATATAAGGTCATTGGGGGTCCATCTAAGATTATTCATCAGAATTTTTTTCTGGTCTGTATATAAATGGAAGTCAAATAGGAAGTGGTGTACATTCTCAATGCTGTACCCTCATAGACAAGATGGGTCAGAAATTATCTCAACTCTAACCAAGTCATGATTAAAGATAGATGAGGAGCACATAGGAAGTGGGGATATTAAGTTTTGTCCATTAAGTGAATATGAATAACTTCAAGTGTGAAAAAAATCTTTTATATAAACAAAACGCAGTGTACTCATGTTTGGACCGTCTTATTAAAAGGGCCAAGTGTGGGATGAACGCTTTTAAGAATTTGAAAAGATCAAAATGAAAAAAGTGTGATACATGATTGTTTCCCGATATTTCCTGTTTCAACTGTCGCATGTAAATACATTTTCTATTCCTCTTACATTTGTTTTTAAAAGTTGCATTAAAATTTTGAAAAAGATGTGATTTGCATGGGACAAAATACTTTTTTCTCTATCTTCATGTAATAAACTTACCTGCATAGCCTGCATATCAGATTCGTGTTTACGTTTCTGTCCTTGTGCAGAACTAACTTCTGCAGATAATTCATTGACTCTATCACTGGCTTCATAAAGTTCATTCTCTGCGTTCTTTCTTGCTCTCTCTGCTTGTTCAAGGGCTGTTCTCAATTCCTCTGTTTCTCCCTGGAGCATGTTGCATCGTCTTTCTACCATGCTATATGACTCGCGTGCTTCTTCACGCTGGCGCTGTTCATCTTCAAGCTGTGCTTGCATTTCCTATTAAGAGAACCAATAGTTAACCAAACTAGATCTTGTCTGAATGAAACGTTTTTGAATTAAAAAAAAGTCAAAAGCAATAATAATTTAAACGGAATAATTTAATGAAGGTTATTTCATTTATTAACCAAGGTGTTGTTTATTCAGTATGGTCTATAAAAGTACTTACTGTAACTTGTTGTTGATATCTCTTAATATTCTTTTCTAGTTCAGCCTTTGCTCTATTAGAAGCGTCAACGGCTACCTCCAGTTCGTTTATATCTTGTTCTAGTTTTTTCTTGATTCTCAATGCCTCAGCTTTGCCCTTACTTTCGGCTTCAAGACTAGCATTCATTGAGTCTAGAGCTCTCTGGTGGTTGCGACTTTAAAAAAAAGAAGTTTTATATGTCTCAGATCTTTAAAAATAAACTATGATTTATATGCATTCATTATATGTTACTCTTGAGAAAAAAAAGTATAACAAAAATACCGAACTCCAATGTAAATTTAAAAAGGGGAAGTCCATAAAAACTAATATATTCATTTTATTATTATTAAACTTTTATAATCATCTGTATAATGTAAAATGTATTATGCTCATCTGCATGAATTGCTGTTGTAATAAGTTTCTTCTTACCGTGTGTTTTCGAATTCGTCATCTTTTTCATGAATTCTTCTGTCGATGTCGTTTCTGATGGCTGATATTTCTAGCTGTGATCTTGCAACTTTAGCCTCCTCGTTCTCAAGTGTAGATTCAGCTTCCTCCAAAGCGGCCTGCAGTTCTTCCTTCTCCATCTCAAGACGTCTCTTGGCCTTCTCAACCTCATGTACACTTCGCCCTCCTTCAGAAAGCTGATCTGTTAATTCGTGGATCTCCTCTGTAAAACGAAACAGTAATACCAGTCAGAAAAAAAATTTAAACAGCCGTTTTGCTTAATATTCTTTAATTTCATATAAAATATCGTTACTTAATATAATGTTGAAATAAATGACAAACAATAAATTAAATACCTTTCGAATATTTTATTAAAAATTCGTACCTGCTAAATTCTTATTTTCTCTCCTCAAAGCTTCAATGGAGTCCTGTGATTCCTCAACCTGGGCTTTAACTCTGAACAGCTCTGCTGAGTAGCTTCGGGCTTCTTTCTGTGCTGATTCCAATTCAACTTGGAGTTCTGAGACCTTGTCCTTCCATTCTTGTATTGTCTTGTCAAATCCGCGCTGTCTCTTTTCCATAGCGTTGGCATTGGCAGTTGCCTAAACAGAATGTATAAATAAACACTTACTAAAAATTACAGAAAATGCACAACAGTGTTTGAAAATCCTGTAGTGTTCAATTTGTTGAAATGGTGTTTGTTTAAGATATCAGAGACGTGTGGCAAAACCATGAGTTTGACTCCTTCAATTCGTCATAATTTTCGCAAAATATATAACTTCTAAGCATATTTAAAATAATTGCACTACCTAGAATGATAGTATGTATGTCTTGCATTATTAATTGAAATGATGACTAGTTTCGAGCCACAAGTATGGTAGTTTTTATTAATTGGGAATCAACATGTTTCAGAGAATACTCACTCTTTCAGATTCAATTGATACGTCTTCCAGTTCTCCCTGGAGCCTGTTTTTGGCCTTCTCTAGCTGGCTTGCTCTTGCATTAGCAGCGTCAGCATTCTGTTCAGCTTCAGCTAATTTGGCTTGAAGTTTACGTCTAAAATGATCAAAAGGTCATGAAACTATATTTGAAATTATTTCTTCGGCTGATATGAAAGTGTTTCAGTAATGATTATTCATAATATCCACAATTTCAGAAATAATTTCAGGATAAAGACACGTTTTACAAAACTATTAAAATAAGTTTTCGTATTTTTTAAAATTGTTGATACACGTTAATTTTTTTTTATCTTACTTTGCATCTTCAAGTTCCTCAGCCTTTGCTGCTCCTTCACCTTCGTATTTAGCTTTCCATGCTAGAGCATCAGCATTTGCTCTTGCAAGCTGTCGTTGAAGGTCGTTCTTGCCTTCTTGTTCTTCTTCAAGTTGTTCACGAACACCGTCTAAATCATTACTCAAATTTCTCATCTCACTCTGGAGTTTCTGTCTTGCCTGTAAGGAATTTAGTTTTAAAAAAAATATAGTCTTTACTCAAACTCATTTTTATCAAGTTAAATTAGCTTTTAAATGATTAAATATCCTTAGAACTCTTTTCTATTCTAAGAGCTTTACGCCGTTCACTTATGTCACGAGACATTTGATAGTATAATACAAATCTCAAAAATGTTTACGAATTGGAACAAATGCATAACTTATGTATATATAAATAATCATTCGACTTAACTTCAAATGGAATTAATTTCATTCTGTCTATTCAACACTAGAGCAGTTAAACATATCATTATTTAATGAGGAAAGGTAATTAATATATAACTAGATTTTTCAATATTGGAACATAGTGGGAAACACGTACCCTTGTTTCATCTTCCAAAGCACTTTTTGCATCTTCGAGTAGTTGAGCCAATCGTGATTTCTCCTTCGACATACTTCCAACATTGTGTTCAGCCTCCTCAAGTTGACTCATCAAGTCTGATGCATCACGCTCAAACTTAGCCTTCTGGTTCGTCATTTCAACAAGATTTCTTTGGCTTTTCTCCAATTCAGCGTTTATGTCAGCAATCTGTGATTCGAACTGTTTGACAACCTTATCAGAGGCCCCCTAAAATATAAACATCAGAGCATAATGTTCTGTACTTTTGTGACGATTTTTTTAATTAAAAAAAAATATCGTAACATAACAAAAGACTGAATGCTCTGATTATATTCTGATATTACCGTGAACAAGAATCATCCTTAAAAAAATAAACCGAACATTCCTTTATTAAACCAAGCCATTTTTTTCAATTGAGGAAAACAAACTTTATTTTACAGACATAGATCTTTAAACGTAGGAAAATGTATTTACTCTGTTCTTCAACTGGTGTTGGAAGTTGGCTTGCATATCATCCATTTCCCGTTTCATATCTTTCTTTTCCTTATCTAGTTTGTTTCTAACTTTCTGAAGATTGTCTATTTGGTCAGCCATTTCATTGGCTGCATCTTGCTGTTTCTTGCGTATAGATGAAATCTGAGCCTCATGTTGAAGTGCTGATTCTTCCAAATCGCGGCGCATTTTTACTAATTCTTGTTCTCTCTTCTTATTCAAGTCGAGCTGTGCTTGTGTGGCTCCTCCTGCCTCGTCTAATCTGTCGGCAAGTTCATCCAATTCTCTAGCAATCTCAGCACGTTGTTTGTCAACCTTTGTTCTAGCTGATCTTTCTGCTTCTAACTCTTCTTCTAGCTCCTCAATTCTGGCCTGAAATTATATTATTCATAAGAACAAGTTTTGTTTTATATCCAGTTGAAATATGAAAAATAAGGAGATATTGAATGATTGTCAATGAGACAACTATCCAACAGAGTTCAAATGAGTTGATATAAGCAAGTTTACCGTACGGCCTTTAACCATTAGAAAAACCATACCGTATATAGGCTAAAGAAGGCCCCGACATAAACAAAAAGTGAAACAATCTAAACTATAGGCTCCTGACTTGGGACAGGTACAACAAGAATGTGGTGGAGTTAAACATGTTTGTGAGCGCTCAGCCCTCCCCCAACGTGGCACAGTAGTGTAGCAGCACAACATTAGAACAAATTGTTAAAATCAGTTGCAATTGGCTGAACTCAAAAGAAAGGTACGATTCACAAAAACAACTAACATAAAAACAATAGACACAAAGCACGGACACAAGAGTACTCGCAGTTTCTGAAAGCTAGTTCAAAGCCATTTTCAACTAATCAAATGATTCATGTTCTCCCGGACTAAAGTATCAATCCGTACACATCCAATGGATTTAGTATAATGACGTCATTAACCATCTGAGCCACGCATGAACTTGTGCAATGCCGAACTATAAGTAAACAGTATCGAAGGTACACTTTCATCAATTATATTTTTCGTTATTCACATGGTTTGTCCATTTCAGCTTAAAAACTTACCTGTAGTTCTTTAATCTTTCTCTGAAGTTGTGCAATAAGACTTTGTTCATCTTCAAGACGTGAATGGAGACTACCAATTTCAGCTTCTTTCCTACAATAGTACAAGAATTATAGGAAAATGTCCTTATTCTATTGATACGGATAAAATACACCAAGGTAAACATTAGATTTTTTTTTTATCTCAGTACAGTTATCTAATAATTGAACATTTTCTTGAACGCTTTAACAAACTGTACACTATATCGTACACTTAATATTAAAGAACTTCAAATTCTATTTAGAATTCTTTTCTTTCCGGCTTCGCAGATTTGTCTTCCTTTTTTAGTTCATTGTATTATAGTTAAAACATCGCTAACGGCACGTACTTCCTATTGGCATCTTCAAGATCCCTTTTCACACGTTCTAAGTCTTCAACAGCTTCTTGTGTGGCCTTCAGATCTTGTTCTATTTTTCGTTTGGCTTTCTCTACGTCACCTCTAACCTTCTTCTCACGCTCCAAATTATCCTCAAGCTAAAAGCATCGGAAATATATTACAAAATTTTTATAACAATTTCCCAATTAACTCAACATTTTATCACAAGTAGAGAACAAATATGCATAAAAGCAAAACCATGCTTAGAAATCAAGATAGTATAGATTTCTTATATTACTATTTGTTTATTACCGAGATAATGCGTAAAGGTAAACGCGAAACCAATAAAAAAGTTAAATTCGGGTTCTTTTAATTCAATATACTGTATTATTTTAAAATCATATCTGACTTCAAATTTAGCATAACAGTTGAATATGTTTTATATGTTAAATAGCAAGGTTTTCCTATAAAAAAACGTGTACATAGACTTTCGTTTTAATCAAAATCCTTTTTTTTTATCCAAATGGTCAAAAATGTACTGCTATTCAATTGTTGTCTTCCCGTACCATAATTTGTCCACAGCTTTTCCGTAAAAACTGTTGTGACAAAGTTGGAAACGCATGTACAATATAAAGGAAAATAAACATCGCCCTATCATTTAATTGTCATGAGCTCCAAGATTCTGCGTTGATTGTTTACCAAGGGCACGATTGTTAAACTTTGGAACGAAAACCCGAAAGTTAATTAGCAGCCATATTTTTGGATCATCAATCAAATAATGAAATATTTTCTATCGATTGTAAGGATTCGTAATAAATAGTAAAAAAAACGTGAACAGAGGAATCAGTTTAGTATGTATGCATGCACAGGTTCAATAATTTCCTTAACATTATAATCACAAAAATTCGTTTCATATTACTTTAATCAACAACAACAACAGCAACTTACTTCATCTAAAGTCGATTCCAATTTCTGTTTAATTTTGTTAAGATGGTTCACTTTATCTTCTTCCTTTTGTAAATCGCCAGTTGTTTTCTTATGAGCTTCATCCATAGCCTTCTTGTCTTTGTTCAGCTTAGATATTTGTTCATCCTGTTGTGACATCTCATCTTGGAGTGTTTTAATCTGGTTATCTTTAGTAGTCTTTTCTTGTTCAGCCTATGAATATATAAGACAAATTAACAAATAATTAGGATTTTGTTATGACATGTTTGAATGCTAAGATAAAAAAAAGGTTCTTTATTAAGCTTATATCAAGGTGTTATACGTTGCATAGTCTGGTTTTCCTAAAACAAAACAAAAAGGGCCCCTCCGTCTAACCCTTAACATCAACAAATGTTCAAGTGAATTCATAATATGCAAAACAGTTTACTGTATAACTAAATGCAGAAATTAACATACCTTTGCAAGAGAACTTTCTAAATCTTCTATATCTTTCTTGAGCTCATCATTCTCCCCCTCCATTTTCTTTTTGATAGTTTCTAATTCGGCTGCAGCATCTTCCTCATCAAGGAGACGTTCTTCCATTTCTTTGATTTGAGATTCATAGTCTGCTTTCTGTGTGACGAGCTGTTCGACTCTCTGTTCTAAGTCGATGACATTGTCTTGCTCGGTCTGCAACTGAAGGAAGAGATCATTCTTTTGCTCGAGTAGAGTGACGTTTTGTACTTCAAGTTCTTTTTTTAGCCTTTCACATTTAGCTAGATCTTCTTCAAGTTTCTTCAGTTGTTCGAGTTTCTTTGCCATTTCCTCTTCCTGTCTAGCAATGTTCAACAAAGGCTTGACCTTGGCGTACATCTTCCACCATTGCCAATTTTTGAGAATAAGCCATTTTCTGATGTTACGTTGGATGACAGAAAGACCAACTCTGGAAAAAACATATGATGCATACAATATAACATTTATGGAACTAAAGAGTATACATAATAATCATTGTTTTAAAAATGAATGGTTATCAATGTCATTGTAAATCAGTACCAAAATCCAGTTTTAAAGTGAAACACAAAGGATCAAAAGATTCTCGAAGACACTCTCAACTAGGAAAATTGAAATGTCGAGAATATATACGAAACCGCAACAACAACAAAAAAAACTAAAGATAAGTACGCATTTAATCAAACAGCAATATATGCATTAAAAAAAATTCTTGGTATTCCTAAACGGAAGATTTTATACACACAGAATAAGAAGTATACTTAACAACAAAATTATTTTCATTTACCTGTGTATAATATGACGCAGGATTCTTCAAAAGTGATGATTTCTAAAAATTGTTTGAAATTTTACAGTGATATCATACTTTAACTTTGTTTAAACCTGTTTATTTACTTTTGATTTTGATTATTTCTCCCTTGTAATTTTTTATTAACTGTGTATTTGCATTCAGGTGTCACAGGTCAAATTTATTCGTTCACTGTGTGTTAATTTACGTCTTTTGATTGAGCTAAGCCTTCCAATTGATATTTTATAGTGTGTTTTTCTATGTTGTGATGTTATACTATTGTTTCAGAAATGGGAGAAGGTTTGGTACCACTAAAACGTTTAATCCCGCTGCAAATGTTTGCACCTGTCCTAAGTCAGGAATCTGATTACAGTAGTTGTCGTCTGTTTATGTAGTTCATACGTGTTTCTCGTTTCTCGTTTTTATATAGATTAGATCGTTGGTTTTTCCGGTTGAATGGTTTTACACTAGTAATTTTTAGGGCCCTTTATAGCTTGCTGTTCGGTGTGAGCCAATTCTCCGTGTTGAAGGCCGTACCTTGACCTATAATGGTTTACTTTTATAAATTGTAACTTGGATGGAGAGTTGTCTCATTGGCACTCATACCACATCTTCCTATATCTATGGAAGCTGTTAGAACATTAACAATTAAGGCTTCATCAAAACGAGAAATTATCAGTTGTTTGGAAATTGAATTGTACTCCTAAACAAGACAGCTTTGTGAGTAAAGCTGTGTTAGGAGGGTCCAGGCGAGAAATTTTTATGAATCAAAACTGCCTTGCTCTTTGGTTGTGAGAACGTTTATCAGTGATTACTTAACCTAAAAAATATATTTGAGGGTAACACTGATTTTTGGTTTTAAGTTCTATAATACCATTTGCAATTGTAAAATCTAATACCATGCTGGTCTGTGTTTTACTTTTTTGTATCGTTACAAACTATTCGATCATTTTCCATGTTCATTATGCTATTGCACTGTATTAGGTTTGTTTGTAACGACATTTTTATTAAAGTGCGGAAGCATATATTCTGAATTAATGTTATTATTACATGTACTACTAAAGCAATTATTATTTGTTAGCAGGTGTCATGTTTTACAAAAAAATCGACAAGTTATACATACCTTTGATCGCACAATTTCTTGTAGGATTTTCTTATAAGATAGGCTCTGATGTGAGCTTGCATCATTGAAATGATTGCACTAAGACGTTCATCACGCATATTTTCAAGATTACCGACGACACCTGCTTTGAAGAAGACTTTGGTGTTGCCAAGTCTGTATTCTGCTGGATCCAATTGTAGAGCCAACAAAACTTTCTCGGAGACAACTTTACCATCAACAAAGCCCTGTGGGATAGCGTTTGGAGCCAAAATTGAGTATCTAAAAATAACAATATACTAGAAATATATGACTATTAATATAAACTAACTATTATTATTAAGCAAGCAAAACTATTTGGCCTAAAATTATTGCTTTCTACTGTGTTATGTTGATAACCTTAAAGAATTCACAGAATCAATACGTTTACAACTATCGTATCAAACTTAGGGCTCTATAAACAACATCATCGCAAAATTATGATGTGATATTCCGTTAGTAACTTTTTTCAAAACCAAAGAAAAAAGTAAAATAACAAAAATACCGAATTGCAATGGAATTTCAAAACGGAAAGTTCTTTATAAAATGGCAAAATCAAAAGCTCAAACAAATCTAACAAATTGAAAACAACTGTCATATTCCTGACTTGGTACAGGCAAAGAAAATACAATGTTTGCTATTGATATTAGATAAAATTTAATTCAGCTACCTCAGGGAAATTTTCCGCAGTATCATTAAAGAATTCTTGAAAATTAAAGCAAAAATATCATCAAAGTTTCCATTAAAACAAAAAGGTTATCCATTCAGATTTTTCTAATTATCAAACTCTTCTGAGGTTTTAATGACAGGAAACACTATACCAGCGACAAGAATTAAAATTGAAAATTTTTATAAGTCCCCAACCTGAAATTAGAGTTCCTCAAAATAAATCTTTCTGATTATCAAACTCATCCAATGTTTTGGTACATGGAAACCCTCCATACAAATTTGAAGAGGAGATATGCCTCCGACAATGAGAACATGGCATATTCATACAAATTCCCCTCCCGGAAAAAGGTTCCCTATTTCAATATTTTCTGGTTATCGAACTTATTCGTTGAGATACGAGTTATAATGAGTTAAAACCATCGTTCAAAGAAGAGGATTTGAAAAAATATGAACACGCTGGCATGTCGACAACAAAGAAAGGACACACGGACTGATGGATAGAACGAAAACATTATTCCCACCAAATAGTGTGGGTGTAATAAATACAATTAGAAAATGGATAATATACTACCTTTGTTTGAACTCAGAGTATATGATTCTGCTTGGGAATCCTTTACGGCAAATACGGATTCCTTCCAGTACACCATTACACTGTAGCTGGTTCAATACCAAAGCAGCATCAATCGTACCTGAAAATATTTAGACATTTTTAATTGATATACACCAAAAAAGTTATGCACATGTTTCTTATACAAGTTTTCTCACTAATTGGGAAATAATAAACACCTTTATTTATATTATCATGCGATAATGGGAAAGAAGCATATTTACCTGGTTGTTTCAATTCGTTAGGAATGATACATCTGACAAAGTGAGGATGTGTGCTGTACAAGTTCTTCATCAATTTATTCAAAGATTCCTAAAAATGAAAACAAAATAGATAAAATTTCACAAGCACAATATGTTTTGAAGGTTAGCTAGAATGTTTTAATGATGATTATATATATATTTATATTAACCTTGCAAAAGATGAATAATAAGAATACAAAACATAAAAAAACCCTTTAAAATACAGAAAAATGGTGAAGTTAACATCAGATTTAAATAAAAGATGCAATTTAACATTGGTTTATGAAATTATATATTATTTACCAGTAAACTTGAAAAAAAAACAACCTGAATGTTGTTATTCAAACTCATTTCTGTAGAAATCTACAATAAATATACATACCCTGTGCACAGCAGAAATGGTCTGGAAGGCAGAAGATTTCTTTTTCTTGTGAGAACCTCCATCTGTTAACATAAGACAGTTTTTTGTTTAAATCTACATAAAATGTTTAAATATTTTGTAGTTTTGTCTTTTGTATAAAGAGATTTTCTGATATTTACTTTCACTTGTGTGAAGAAAATAGTAACCTGTACATTATGAAATATTTTATTTTCCATATGTAAAAAAAGTTCATAATGCACACAAAAGTATATTTCAGTATCACCTTTTGATTGAGGAATATGACAAAAATTACAAAGATAACTATAAAAATGTAACTATCGAAAATTATGCAAACCTGGAACTGCTGGTGGCTGGAATAGGGTAGCTACAAGGTGCTCCTTAGATTGAGCAAGCAATTCTACAACAGTCTCGTTAATGGGATCTTTGTTCTTTTCTAACCAACCTTCAGTACCATATGGAACCTTTATAAAGAAAGCAAATGCATCATGTCGACTTAATATATATAATCAGCGCAAACATTTATTATAACCTGTTATGTTGTTTAAATATGAATTTTTTTATGATGAGAGCTAAAAATAAAGGTTTGTAATATTGATACAGATGTGTTACAGAGTAAAATAAGTTACTTACAACTCCGGCATAGTGACCAAGTTCGAAGTCGGATCTCTTTCCCTTTGAAGCTTTGCCTGGTTTGTTAAAGTTAGGTGATTTTCCCATATGAGTTGAGTAAAGCTTTTCTTTGAAAGATTTGTCTGAAGCCTTGGGGAACATACATTCCTCTTCAAGAATAGACAGAATACCCATGGGCTGTCAAAAAAAGAAAAATATGATCTTCAAACATTATCTCATAACAAAAATATTCTCATTCGAAGTATATGAATAGCGTGTATCACAACAAAAATATTCTCATTCGAAGTATATGAATAGCGTGTATTTATCTATTTACTTTTGTATTAACATTATATGATTACTTTGGTACTAATAGGTTAAGCGAAATGACTCTACTAGTGTGAATTACAAGGATTAAAATGACAAATTGACGAGAATGTCATACCTTCTCAATAAGATCGATACAGGCTTGCAAGTCCATACCAAAGTTGATAAACTCCCACTGGATTCCTTCCTTCTTATATTCTTCTTGCTCCAAAACAAACATGTGATGGTTGAAGAACTGTTGCAGTCTTTCATTGGTGTAGTTAATGCACAATTGTTCAAAGGTATTGTACTATAACAGATATAAATCGATGGTTACGACAAATAAGGTAAAAAAAGCAAAAATACAATTACTGTTTAATATATTCGGGCAACAAGGCCATGAAATAACGTTTTTCGTAAATACAATAATTTATATGCATTAATATTAAAACTAATTTTTTTATCAACTTACTTTTCCATACTTTGCTGGAATACTTAATCATATATTTTTATAAACAAACTATCGTGCAGGGTTTGCTTTTTAGGATTTTAAAATCTACGTACTTTTTTGTTCCATATTAATCACGAACTCACCTCGAAAATTTCGAACCCTGCGATATCCAGGACACCAATATAGTAGTTCCTCTTGGCTTTGGTGTCGAGTGTTTTATTTACTCTTACTACAAGCCAGTTGAATAGTCTGTCATAGAGAGATTTACTCATGGCAGAAACTGAGTAGACAACCTTTAATAAAATAGAATAGATTTCATTAATGTTCGTAAGGCACGATTAAAAGAGTGTCTGCCGCTTAAACTGCTTGTCTAGACCTTCCAAATATTTATTTACTTTGTCTCAATACAAAGAATCTACTCAAAATGATTTTGAAAAATAGTTTTTTTTTTGCATGAGGTTCTACTTAAAAGTCTAAAAAAAATAAAAAATTTCAAGTTATTTTGATCATCAAAGAAAACGCAAAGAATTTTATCAAACCCAATGTCTTTTAAAAATATCGCTTGTAATGATCATTATAAATATGTACCTGTTCCTTTGTACGTCCCTGGACAACAACCTCTGTGCCGACCTTAATCTTGGGTTTGACCAAAGCTTTAATGAAATCATTAGAGTTAACTCCCAACAGGAAAGAAACTTTCTCAGCTTCAGCACTACCATCAGCTTCAGCCTGTTCACCTCTTTGTTTGAAGGTCATCTCACCCATATGCATTATAGCAGCTGTGCATTTGTATGCACTTATCTTTTCCGTCTCAGAGAAACCCAAGATATCAAAAGCTTCCTGCAAAACCATATTGAAACTTTTTTCTAATTTTATTCAAAAGCAAAAATATACCATCAGTTTACATACTTAAATCTCTCAATATACAGAGATACTTGTCTCATGTTTTATGGCACCGATTAGTAACCAGTGACATTGAACAATTATGTAGCAACACAATAATATCTGGTAATGGAAAATACAGTCTAGGACAATCCTAATACGATATAGACATCGAAAAACATTAGGACCTGGTGGAGTTGATCAGATTGCCTTTCTGTATCACTATCAAAAATTCGACATAAAACCAACAATGGAAAGACGTTTAATGTTAACAAAAATCTAGTGGAAAACAATACTAGAGAATTGCTTGTATTACTGAGTCATTGACACACAAAAAGATCTTAAGTTTTAAGCATTTTTGTAAGTAGAAAGATCTACTAGTGGAATCAACAATCTACTGCAAGATTCATCGTAAAGATTGTGTTAGTCGTGATACGTTTTTAACAAAATTGTAAAGCTTACATCACAAAGCAACATTTCCTCTACGTCATCAATGCCATCAACAGTGAGAGCGCCTTGATTGATAAAAGAATATAGTCCAGCATCTGGTGATATCAAGCATATTTCTGAAAAGTAAAGCAAAGTCCTATGTATTAAAGATAAAGGTAAAACACTATCAAGTATGTTGTAAATGGTATAGACAACGTCCAACCAATAAAAAAGATTTCGTCCTGTGAGCTATTGTGAGTTATTCAGAAATTCGTAATTTTGCATAAATATAGTCTTTAATATGTTGCTCGTTCCTCAAAACTGGCAAAATTAAGTATATGTTGTGGATTAAGATTACGTACCATGTAATTTAGGAATGGCACTACAACACAACTGGTAGAAAATGTGGTAGTTTCTCTCTGCTGACTGTTGAAAGGTTACACGAGATTTCTCCAGCAAATCTACAATTGAAATTATTTCCATATAATGTTCGTATATTTATTACTCTTAAATTCAAGTTACAATTTTCAAGAAATCTCTAGTTCTGTAATTTCCATGCAAATTCAGCTCACTAAAATTTCAAAATATATTATTTTGCTCATAATTAACAAGATTCTAAAACATAGAATAAAGTTTCATCTAGGCATAAACCGTAAAACTTGCATTTTTCCAAGAGGTATTATTAAGAATTTATATCAACATGAATTACTAACAGGGCAGAGGTTTAATATACATATATATATACATTATGACGACTATGGCAATTAGGCCATATATATACTCACATGTTTCAATGTCGGCACCGGATATTTTTCCAGTTGGCCCAAAGTGAATACGGATGAATTTTCCCTACAATAGTAAGTAAATTTTAAAACATAATTGCTATGTTCATTTGATAACGACTTCAATTACTAAACTGTTCATAGAAATAGTAGAATATTACTGTCGTTGGTAAATAATGCACCATTCACTTTTGCAATGGCTTAATGTGGTTTACAGGTTTTATTATCAGAATTAACTTTTCAGGGCCAAAGCTTAAAAATCTAACACATAATAAATGTATTTGTTACTACAAAAAATTCAAAGAATATTTAGATGTTCCATGCTCTCTCATTGAAGCACTGTAGTAATTATCAAAGGTTTATTTCACCAAGAAAACTTGGTTTAAGTTGTTGAAAGAATCGTGACACAGAAAAGTGATCCAAAATTTGACGGACTTTGATGACTAGAATCTCATGCTATTTTTTTTTAAACTTGGATGGACTTTGATGGAAATTAACCAATCAGAGTTAAGTTTAGGAATGGTGCAATTTAGTTTACAAAACAAAAGCACATGATAAAAGAGTTGAAACAAGATGAGTTGAATAAGTAGGATGACTTCCAGTAAAGCTTAAACAAAATTGGTATGGACAAATGGCATGAAAGATGATTGATTGAATTGGCTGGGATCAAAGAAGTGTATTAAAGTTTCATCTGTTGTAAATAAAAAAGTCGATTTTTAAATTGCCTCCTCATAATGGTATTACATAGATATAGTAAAAGAGTAATACAATCTTTCTGTGAGAAGTTTTTAAGAGCCACCACATATCTTGAAATTCCTCCTTTTCTTTGACCAATTACCAGAAAAATTTTAATATCGCCAAGTTTTCAAAAAGAGTTGTTTAAAGTTTTCTTTGACCAAGTTTTTGATGGAAAACTTTGATAGTGGCTACAGGGCTTCAGTTGAAGAAAATATTTACCAATATATAATACTTACATTTCATCGTCTCTGTAAATTACAATTCCTATGTGACCATCATATCACACCTAAACACACCAAGGCAACGAAAAGGTAAAGGTTGAGGTCACAATGTGATAAAATTCAGTAAAACTCGCTTATTATTCTGCATAAGCTAACGTCAAATAGATTCAAAATAATTAAGATGAATTATAAGCGAATTTTTACTGTGTAATTAATAAACAAAATGTTAAAATGGAAATCACGAGAAATACAAATAAAAACTATATTTTTTTTTTAAAGAATTTTGGTGAGAGATTAAAAAAATGGTAAAATAGATATTTCTAGTGACTTCCAATGACAAATCTAGAAAAGAAGGAAGGGATCACACATAACTGGTCAAATCTGTTCAAACAATATGGATCATGCAAACGAATAAAATCTGGAAAACAGGTTTTGGATATGGCTACTTCTAAAGTGTTAAAATAAATTGCTCACTAAAGGAAAAGTCAAAAGTAATTTAGTCGATTTTTGGTTCAAAGTCATGGGTGTGCTTACAAATGAATTACTGTGTAAGGTATAGGGTAAACTCACTCATTCCATTACTGATATATAGTAGTAAATGTACATCATAATGTTATGGGGTTTCATAGGATGAAAGATAACACAAGGTTTTTTCAAATTTCGTAAAACATAATGAGCTTTGTAAAGAATTAGTTTCACACCAGGAGTGCAATGAAAATGAAAATTGTAACAGTTTTTGATGATATGAATGGTTAATGATCAATGTTTTTTTTTCATACTTACGAATCGAGACGAGTTGTTATTTCTGGTAGTCTTGGCATTACCGTAGGCTTCAAGTACAGGGTTAGCTTGGATAATCTGATCTTCTAGTGAACCCTTAAATAAGAAATTTTATATTGAAAATCCTCTAAATTTATCCGAGGATTTCACATTGAAATGAAATATACTAACTATTATGACACATTTCTCCGTTGGTAAATATTTTAAAAACAATGCAAGATGTCTTTAAAAACTGTGTAGTGATCTTTTTATATGATAATATGAATGATCCCATGAGGTTAACACCTATACAAATGTCCAAGTGTGTATGTCTGGTAACTGGTTAATCTATAAATGGGTTATGATTTATCTAAGAAATAAATGTATGGGTAAGGTTTTTAGCACACACAAAAAAACAATATATGAAAGGGGAATTAAACCAGACCCGGACGTCTGTATCCAAATGTGTATGTTAAGACCCCCTCACCCGTGGTTTCCATATATAGATATATGTATTATATATATGATAGTTTCTAACTTTATATGTTATTCTCAGCGTCATTGTACAAAATAAGTAGTGTAAGTTTGTACATGTACGGAATGGTAATTTTATTTTAAGCATATCATATTTAGCTTTTATCAGGATGGTCCAATTTATTTCCTTTAATCAGAATACAAAACGATTTCTATTGTGTTTATTTTTTGTACATCATGATGCGAACTCTTTATACGTTTTATCAGAATATACTAAAACATCTTATACCAGGATCAAAACCGTTTTATTACAAATTACCTTGATATATGTAACGATATTCTAAGGATTTATGTCGTTTTATTATCATAACATTTTTCCCCTGATGCATATTGTTTTTCAGTATATTTACCACTTTTGTATCAGGCTTCTTTTCTTCATCGGATGCATCTTTTTTACCAAGTGAAGCAGCTACTTTGGCAAAGTACATGATTACTTTCTTCGTATTTTCTGTCTTTCCGGCTCCAGATTCGCCTCTGATAAAAATAAATGTGATTTTTTTTAAAGCTCGTGAAATGTGTTTAGTGCAAGATAGCAGTTATGCTTCACACAGCACATACTTCTGTAACATTTGTACATGTACATTCAGAAAGCCGAGAAGCGCCTTTAAAGAAGAGTCAAAACTGCTGAAGGGAAAAGTCTGCTTTAAGAAGATCAGTTGAATCGTTATTAATAAATAAAAACTTCTGATAATAAGGCTAATTACTAACAACACCTTGGACAGGGCATGGCTTGTTGAGAAGGACACAGATTTAATAAAAGACTGGACATAGATTTGAGACGTCTTTGACGCAATATAGGATGGGATAAAGATCTGAAAAAGGACACATATTTAAGGCTGAACATAGATTTATGGTTTACATATATAAACAATTAGAGACTGTTGCATGTGAAACCTAATCATAATCTTTAACAATTGTTGACGCCACCGACGCCGGAAACAGCACACCTTAGTCTAGCTTCCAAAAAAGTCGGAGGCGAGACAACAAAATGGAATGAGATGGAAATCACCAAGTAGATATTTATGGTGATATTTGATAGAGTTAACAATACTAAATGTTAAATACTCACGTAATCAAAATAGACTGATTTTCACGATCTTGCAACATGAACTGGTAAGCATTGTCAGAGATAGAGAACAGATGGGGAGGCATTTCAGTCTTCCTTTTTCCCTTGTATTTACTAATGACGCTCTCAGTGTAGATTGGGAGACGTCTGTAGGGATTGATAGCAACGCAGAAAAGTCCAGAGTAGGTCTAAAAAAGAAGCATATTTTTCCAAATCGATCATAAAAATCTTCAAACCAAATTGGTTTTCAATCTTATATTACACAATTTCGAATGATAAGATAATATAGTGTTTTGAATGGTTATAATTTTTCTTCAGTATTTCACAAGCTTTTATAAATATTTATTTATCTTGAGAACATTAATTCGTTTGAAGTTTGACCCTCAACACATGTCTTGATATAAAAAGAGTCTATAGAAAAGAATTAAACAGCAAATTTAATACATATCAAATGGTCTAACGACGATTCAGGAAGATTTGTGCAACGATAGTGATAAAAAAATACGAATAAGATGAAATGAAATCGTATTGACAGATATTTCGGCACAACAAATGACATTCATCAGTGTCAGTCCCTTTTCAAAACAGTGAGTTCTCTGTGTGTTGAAAAAGCTCACTCACTCTTACAGGTATCCTCGTATTATTGGTTTTCGTGCTATTAAGAACGCATTGTAACGTCAAAATTTCCATTAAAAAAGCACGCATAGTACGAATTCATATGACGTACGAAAACATAAGATCTGCCCATAATCTTAAAATTTATTCAATTAAAAACAAAACAAAAAAATCAATTGTAAGCTGGCGTCGTTGTGTATGTTTACATCCCCATCCTTAGGTTAACGATGACAGGTATCTTTGACATCCCAAAACTGTCCCGACCAGTCCACGCAACCACGCAACCACGCCTGCTTAGAACTTTTTTGTTTTCATTGGATAAAGTGCGTTATATATAAATCGTTGTACACATATATATATTGATTACTTACATAGATCAGCTGTGCTTTATAACGTGCTCTCAAGTTGTGCAATACAGAAGCTTCGTTCAAATATGTTAAATTAGCCATGTCTTCACTCATTTCGTACTTGGGTGGATTCATCTGTTGGATGTCATCTTTCTTTACTGTTCTGTTCTGTGGACGAAAATCATTTACTTCGATCACAGTTTTTTTTAGATTAATAGGTGTTGGATATACTCCAAACAGACAACAAACAAACACACATTAAATAAAAGACATCTAGAAGCTAACTTTTGCAATATCTCAACCTATATTCGAATTGAAAATATACAAGTTGTGAATGAATTTAACATAAACAATAACAGATCAGCCATAAATTTAAATTATTTATTCTTTTGTTTTATTTTAAAGTGTACTCTTCCCAACAAGTTCTACGTGGTAACATATGACAAATATGTACGAATAAACAAAGAAACAAATAAATTGTAGCAATATTTTTTCTGAATTAGCTTATACTTTTATAATAATGATAATTGTACTTATGTACATGTATTGTAATGTTTTGTAAATGATTATCATAGGGAAAATTACAATCTTATGTACCTTTATTGCAATGGTAAATATTATTTTCTACCGATTGTCCACTCTCTCTTCACACTCACAAAATACTTATGAAAAGCGCAATTCAAGCCCTTTTATTACCGATATCAATTCAGAACGGACAGGGTCAGCAGACGGAGTTATGCATATAGTTGACGTATCATATACTACATGCTTATTATTTAAATTGTTTGAAAATATGTGTCATTGAAACAGGTGAAAACCCTTATAAATATGTATATTGATATAAGAAGATGTGGTATGAGTGCCAATGAGACAACTCTCCATCCAAGTCGCAATTTGTAAAAGTAAACCATTATAGGTCAAAGTACGGCCTTCAACACGGAGCCTTGGCTCACACCGAACAGCAAGCTATAAAGGGCCCCCAAAATTACTAGTGTAAAACCATTCAAACAGGAAAACCAACGGTCTAATCTATATAAAAAACGAGAAACACTTATGAACCATATCAACAAACGACCACCACTGAACAACAGGTTTCTGACTAAGGATAGGTGCAAACAAATGCAGCGGGTTTAAACGCTTTGTTCAGAAATAAGTACAAAAATATTGTAATATATACCTGTTGCGTTTCAGTAATTTTAACTGTAAGCTCCTCTCCTTTTGAAGATTGAATTTCTGCACCAATGAATCCTTCCTTGTCATCTGGGCACCAGCAAGCTTTTTTACCATCGAATTCCTTCATTTCCTTCATTAATTTCATCCGGTCCACGCACAAGTACTGGAAATCCGGGTCATCTTTGGGTACTCCCATGTACGACATCTTGACTTTTTAGTATGACAATTCTCCAAAATACAGGAATGATAATAACCGAAACTGGAGAACTGTTGAGATCGTCTCTGCTCTGGACAAACTACTACACAAGGCCAGAACCTACTCTAAATGACAAATATGTATATATATAAAAATCAAAGCAAACAAGAGCAAGAAAAAAAATTTTGTTATATCTTTATAATAATCATAAATTTGCTGTATAAGAGTATACAACTCTTTTCTAAAACTTAGCTGTCATTCTTAATTCTATTGGTTATCGTAGCCATGGCAAAACAGTTGTTTAACTGTTATACGTGTACGGGTTTGTTGTCTCATCGACGTTTATCCCAAGTCTTCGTTTTATTATTATAAAACCACTGTACACAAGTACAGATTGGAAAAAAATCCGAAAATACTATGTTTACAAAAGAACAAAATATATATATTTCATACGTTCAGAGACATATAGTTGTTAACATCCTCGTCCTTTGGTCTCTTCTGGATAGTTGTCTCATTTTTAGACATACCACATCTCCTTACTTTTAAGGATGTTCGCTACTCTGTTTCAAAATAACAAACTTTTTAAAAGACAGTTATAAATTGATAGTATACAAACAAAGGAATTAAAAAAGCAGAACAAAAAATAAGGGTCCGTGTGTTTGTTTTCGAGATATAAGCCATTGAAAATTTGGCGGGATATAATTCTCTCTAGACTTTTCATACATTTAACATTAGCACCCTTTTTCTTTTAAAAATTATGAAAAAATAACAAGGATTTTATAGGATTTTCAAATATGGCTAATTAAACAATGTGTAATAAAATTGTGAATAAAAAGTAGGGGTTAGCGGGCAACATTTTTTAAGGCATTCAAATGGATAAAATCAGAGGATTCCGAAATCTGACAAAAATTCCAAAATATGACAAGCAAACATCCTTAAACTGGCTTCTTGTGAACTGTTGTTTTACCAACAAATCAAACCAAGACTGCCGGCGTCGGGGCAAAATCAACCAAACAACTTTTGGTTACTATGGAATGCACTCAATAACTTTATAATGCCAGACAGCTTTGACTACCTGCATTGTAGCTCATCGGAATCTTTCAATAATATATTACGTCAACAAGATCATCTATACAACAAAATAAGACTTAAGATAAACGAACACTCCCCCCCCCCCCCCCCCTAAAGAAATCTTCTAGGCGTCAACATAAGGTCTTCAACTATAGCTATGTATTTATTTTAAAACGCTAGAAAAGATGAAAAAAATTACATCAACTCCAAATTCCCTACGTGACAAATTATGCTATAACTGAAGACAACCACCGGCGATGTTCCTCACCTTGGACAGCTATATAAAAAAAAACTTATCCCGATGAAACCAATGATATAATAGCTAACAAAAACACAAGAACAAGAAACCAATGGTATAATAGCTAACAAAAACACAAGAACAAGCAATACAATAACAACAATACCGCATCAAAGAAAGCTCTAATTAAGTTGCTGTGAGCAATGTGTGGCTCAACTTCTACGTAGTTTCTATAGCTGAACAATTTTAGCATGAAAAATATTAACCTCTCTGAAGAAATCATTACACGTAATAAATTATATTTTACGTTCTCCAAGCCTAAGCCTGCCGTATGTCATGTTCAAAATCAAAGATCTATCATCCTAGATTTAAAGCATTTTTTTTTGTATATAGCCAAACAAGCTGTTTAATTCATCTGCAGAAAAGATCATTTACACTTAAAAGTTATACGGCTATAAACCGTATTTATCCAATAAAAGCCTCCCCCCCCCCCAAAAAAAAAATAAAGCAACAGTTAACAGCAGATTTATTTGAGTGTGTACAAAGTATAATGGAATTAAGTTTCCTAGGTGGACCATTATGGTTTTCGTTTGAAACAGTAACAGTTTTTATTAAAAGCCATTAAAAAAATAAAACCTGTTTGGCCAGTTTGATTCTCTTAGTCAGTAAATTATCCATGGTTCGCCTAACAAACAAGCAAAATTTAATGTTTTAAGTACACATTCAAATAGTAAAAAGAAACTAAAATTTAATGTTTTAGGTACACATTCAAATAGTAAAAAGAAACTAATACTCAATCCAAAGTTAAACAACTGACTAATCAGTTATAGCTTATTTACCCAAAATTCATATCGCGTTTTTTTTTTATGATTAAAGCAGAAAGCAGACAACAATACGATAAGTCGCTATCTTTTTTCACTTGATTAAGTAATGGAGATCAATGATGTGTTTGGAAATTACACAAGGTTAAATAAAAGATGCTTACAAGTTATGCGGTTTACATTTCATTATGCACGTCTTGATTTATGCAGAGTGGTATCTAAGACTCTGACGTAATAAGTTAAGACTGCTCCTGTAGGCGGATATACCATATTAGGCCATCATGGAGGATGCACCAAGGAAACAAATATTTTATACAAATATTGAATATTTTTGTATGTGCATGGTTTCTTTAAACCTTAATATAGGCACGGCCTTGCTTTTAGGGCGGGCCGAAGTCCGAAATAAAGTTTTTTGTATGACATAATTGCAATGAATAATTTGTCTACAAGAAAATTTGTGTTGGTTTTGTTTCGTGAAATCTGATACTACCTACGCTTAGAGCCAAAATGATTAAGAAAATGAAATAAATGTGAAGATACCTGCCTGGATTGAATTATTTATATTCGTGAAAATTTCTAATCATCACAATTTAATGAAAACACCATGAGGGCGTTATTCCGATTGGATGGATCTAATTTACTCTAAGATATTATCAAGCAAATGCAAATGATATCTTTCTAAAATTTAGGAGAGACTGTTTTCAGTAATTTGACCTTATGTTATGGAAAAGTACGATAAATGCAATAGAAAATGACATCTTTGTGTAATTGATGATGTGAATAATTTGCCCCTAGCGTTCATCAGTCTTGTTCTTGGACGGTGCAGGTCAAATAAGGAGAAAGCTGATACGAAAGAAAACGTTAACTTTCAAACGATTCCGTGATTGATAAAGCGTTGTATAGCAGAGAAAAAGTGTTAAAGAAAGATTTTAAAAGAACAACCTACGTTAAAATAATGTTATTATACACCAAAAATATTCAGCCACTACCTAATTTTCGAAATTTTCCATTTTTTCAGTTTCCAAACGATATATTTGAAAATTATTACATAGTGTATTTCATATATATGTATTATCATTAACCATTATATACCAATAGCATTATACGGACTTTAATAACTGCCTGTTAACCTATAATTGCTTAGTCAAAAGAGTACAAAATAATACAGTTTTCTGTTTTATTATTTGATTGTTTTGGTACTTTGTACCGGTTTGTATATATATATATATATATATATATATCAATACTAATTAATGATTGCTTTGTTTAGTGGATGACAATCCAGATTTTGAATTAATCAATTTAAAAAAAAATGTCATTCGCTACCAACGCAGAATGTCAGATTTGGATACTAATTTTCATCGTTTGGAAATTTTTCGATTTGCTTTAACTCTTTTTTTTTAAATGGGGAGATTTGTAACTTTTGCAATTTTGTAGACTATAGATTCCATTGGCTCTTTTGATTGGATGAAGTTTATTCTCAACGATTTCAAGAGTACAATGAATAAAATCATAATGCGACATTAGTGTTATTATAATGAAACAATATTTGATGATCTCTAATTTTGCTTTATTTTCGAAAACTTAATTCAGAATTTTTTTATTTACAATATGCATTATTTTTGTATTCATTTATCTAATATTAGTTTGATTTTATCTGTCGCATTTGCTTACAAATCAAATAATGCTTTCATTCGTATCAATTAACTAAATGTAGTTTCATTTCGAAATATTCATTTATTTGTTTTGTTTTATTCATTTATTTGTTTATTTTATTATTTTTTAAATTTAATCTGCCGTACTTTATATGTATTATTTGTTGAAATTAATATTTCCTTACACGACGACATTTAAAAATCCATATGATTGAGTTTCACTGTTAACAGATGTGGCAATAATTTACAAAATGCATACTAAAAAATCACACTATTCATAGATAGAACCAACCAGTACCTACCGTTATAAATGACACTTATATGTTCCAACTTTGATAAATCCTGTGAACACTAAATCCAAGAAGTCTGTCAACTTTTATGTCCAATATTTGTTTGAGAAAAAGGTATGTAGAGGATAAGGAAAGAAAGAAGAAAAGAAAACTCAACTCTGAGTTAAGGTACAATTAGTTTATTGAGAAATTCTATAGTAGGTTCTAGTATTGGTTAAGGTAAAGGATAAAGGTATTCACACAGGGTTCAAACATACTTACTCCTTCAGCGGTTCTGTGTAACAAAACTTTAAAATTCTTTATATATACTCGCCCAAAAAGTTAGAAAAGTCTTGTTGTTTTGTTTCAAGATTTTTGGTTGGTTAAAGTTTCAAGTAAATTACTTCCTGAACCAATTATAATTTTCGTTATATAAATGTATATCGATAACAGGCAGCTACTTTTGGACATAGCAGCCGTTTCCTGGTAACTGCATTGTGTAGGCTCATCAGTTTTATGATCATCTTTCATCTTATATTTCTTTCATCTTGATAACACAAACCAAGGTATATAAATATTAAGTGTATTTCATCTGATAAATCATAAATACTGGGGATTTGTATCAGTACAAATACTTCAATTGTTTCATTGTTAGAAAAGACTGGAATGCGGAAAACATTCGAAAGGTAAAAGAAAGAAAATTTCCAAGGGAGCAAAGTGAGAAATAAATTTAAGAATTAAGAAAAGAATTGATCAAATTTTGAAATTTTAATATTTTAGACCAAATCAAAATCATGAAAGGATCTTGTCCTAACTTTGTCCAAGCTGTGCCGTTAAGAAGTGTATTGCCAATTTCGTAAGAAAGTTTTGGGCGTTGTTGTATTCTAAGATTTCTAATGAAGAAACATAATTATACAAGTCTCTTAGTTTGATTACTGAACAGAAAACAATAAATGCTTTATCGTGCTATTTAAGTATAGCAACAAATGTACATTGGTGTATGTAAGCGTGTGTGATAACGAGGAACGCAGATTTTATCTATATTTAATGGAATTGGCAAGCTTCCTAGTATGATAATATTTCACACCCCCGAAAGCTGGATTGATGTTGATAAATGACAGAATTTACAAGCAATTCTTGTAAAAAAAATATCTGTCATAATGTTCAGTTTTGTCAGAAATTTATTTTTCACCGATTATAATTGGATTTCCTTTTGTACCTCCTATATCTGGTATATGTAACATTCCAGGAGTAAAATGTGCGTTTTGTTATTTTCGGTTTTAACCTGGTAATAATATATTCACCGACTAAAATGAAGTTGGCTTTTTTTATTATTTTGTTAAAGGTCATATATTGACCTCTAGATGTCTTATGGTTATTTTCGCTCAGTTGTTTTATTGACGTAATCCCCACATTTCCCTTATTCACATCTCATTTTCAGATTCCTGGATGAAAATTATTCACATAACAAACAATTGCAGGTTTCCTAGGGAGATTCACGCCATAAAAAAGTATTTTGCAGGTTTCCTACGCAGATTGACGTTCTAGGAGTAACAACGAAGAATCAACAGAATAATTCATTCCCACATTTTTTTGTTATAATGTGTTCCTGTTGAAGATAGATCCAACGAACGCTTTGAGATATAAGGAGGCGTGTTGTTCTGATTTGTAAGCCATTATATTTTTCTTATCTGTTCTGGTAGCCTCACTTCAACTTTTAATCAGCTTTTCTGATATCGAGGAACTACCCTTCTAAGCTAAATTGTGAAAGCTACAAAACTAACCACCAAGAGCAATTAACTGTTAATCAAAATCCACCGAGTTGGGGAGAAAAACAGAAACCAACGATCTTTTACATTAGAAACAATTGATTGCACAAGAAAAGCTCTTAAAACTTGCTTGGTTGTATATCCACTCAGGCCGCGTTGACACTGCCCGTATGAAACATGTTTTGAAATAAAAAATGATCAATTGTTTGACATGCATTTAATTCTATATTCAAAAGCGAATTAATAGCTGCAACTATTCCCAAAATTAATACAGCATTTATTTATAATTAATGTTTAAAAATTTAATTAAACTTGTTTTAAACTTGTTTCAAACTTGTTTTAGCTTCAGTGTGAACACGGCCTAAGTCGATATGCAATCTAGCAAGTTTAAATAAGACATCGTAAAATATATTAAAGGTTTAGATGGTTGATTCATCAAATATTCCACCAGGTTGTTCAACAAAAACACAGAGGGTTGAGCACTTATATTTATTTGCAGGGAATAACAAGAGAAAATATATATCTGTAACACAAATCCTAGAAAGATCACACAGACAAATAATTACATATTTACATGCCAGTGATCGCTATATAAAACTATAATCTTCATTTGAATAAAAAAATAAATAAATAATCCAATAAGTTGATAAAAGTTCAATTATAGACGTTCTAAATCAATACGTCCACTTCACATGTAACTACATAACAGTCTTCATCACTCTCTGGCTGTGTCACATTATAAAGGGTAAAACAGAGTTGTCTCCCGTCCTACAGTCTGAAAAAAGAATTAAAAATACAAAACACTGATTTGTTTTCTAAATTTTAAAAAGATAATTCAATATAAATGTTTGATACGAATAAAACGAGATCTGTGTAATTTTAGATGAGACGGCAACCAATCGAAACAAAACATAAAACCAAAAAAATCAAAACTTAAAAAAATGGGATTTGCTTCACACCTGTTACTGTAAGAACCTATATATCAAGTAAGGTGAACATACCTGTTTCAGGTTAGGGGGAGGGTTGAGCGCTCACAAACATGTTTAACCCCGCCATATTCTTTATGTCCCAAGTCAGGAGCCTGTAGTTCGATGGTTGCTGTTGGTTCATGTCTGTCATATTTGTTTTTTCGTTAATTGTTTTGTTACAAATTAGGCCGTTAGTTTTCTCAATTGAATTGTTTCATATTTTTCATGTCGGGCCCTTTTATATCCGACTATACGGTAAGGGTTTTTCTCATTGTCGAAGGCCGTACGGTTGCCTATAATTGCTTACATCCACTTTATTTGAACTTTCGAGGATAGTTGTCTCATTTGCAATCATACCTCATCTCCTTATTTTTATATATATATGAAATTTTGAAAAACAAATCTTTTTAAAATTTTGAATATAAAAACCAGAAGAGCTTATAAAGAAAAACCAAAACCGGAAGAGCTTATAAAGAAATACCAAAACCGTCAATAAAGGTCAACTTTGCCTAAGTTAAGATGTTTACTCGTTAAAATTAGTGTAATTTTTCCATCTGCAAACTGTATTGTTTTAATAATAGTCTTAATATAAACTTAGTATTTGTAATACTGTCGTTGAAATGTAAAAGTTGCTGCTTAATTGAACGTCATTGTCAATTTATACTCCATATTTACCTATTATCTCCTTATGGCACTTTGAATACATCACATCTTACTGCTGTAAAGAAACGAACGAAATGTAACATTGGATAAAATAACTTTCACGACCCCTATTTATAAATGAATATATGTGGAACCAATCATTCTATGCATAAATGAAAGAACAGTTATGATAAGAATTCGGTCTTAATTTATACAAAACAATTATATTGTAAATTCAAACGATTGATTGATGGTTGCTTAACGTCCAGGGACAAATATTTCAGGCATGTTCAGGACGATAAAATTCAAACGAAATCAAAATGAAATGATTATTGTCTTTATGTAACGTACCCGTATTGAAAAAAGTACCCTGCTTTATTTACACTTTAAAAAGTTCTTTTGATAATCATCACAGTACATCTACTATTAGTACGTTCTTTACTGTCTTAATATTTAGTGTATTATTTTGTATTTGTTCCTCTTATAACACACATGGTGTGAGTGAGTGTACAATGAAATCTAGAAAGTTTGAATCTTGATATCTTATAATAGCTCTTGTTTCGAGATGTTTGACTGCAGACAATAATAATGATATACTTTGGAGATTTGTAACTGATTTCATTCGTTTGCTGGTCTTTTCATATTTACCCTATCGTAACTTTTTAAATTCAAGAATATTCAAAAATATAAAGATATCAATAAAACAATTAAGATATAGTTTAGCTAATATAACTACTTACAGTTGAGCTCATGTTGCTAACAGAAACACTTTTGATTGTCCTTGTACTGGACATTGAGCTACGGTTTTTGGTACGAAGTTTTGATAGGGAGGCTTCTGAACTCTCTGCGCGCTCTTCGGCATCTTCAAGTTCGCTCTGAACTTTTCGGTATTTAGCCAGATTAATTGCAGCAATTTCTTCCTGAAATGGAAGAGAATCCATTAAAATGTTTCTGACAAAATTTTGAAGAACCAACTTGACATAACTTTACTTGCGAATCTGATTGGGGAATTCGACACTCTATTTACCTTTAAGTTGTATTTCTTTCACCAGAAAAAAAAATCTTACAAGTAATGTTGTGTTCCTGAAGTATCTATTTTGGAAGTTGTAAAATGTAATAACTACATTGTAACCTTTCACTATCGATAAGATTTTACATTTGACATGAATTTTATCATACTAAATTTGTATACCATACTTTTTTATAGAGTAATTTCTTTATTTTAGAATTGAAACCTTAAAACACAGAATCGTATTACAAAGGATGTAAGATCAAAAGAAGAAAAATGCAAATAAATGACTTACAGCTTCCTCGACTTGACGTTTGAATGTCTTGACTTTGGATTGCAGTTTGTCAATCATGTCCTGAAGTCTTTCTTGGCCCTTGCGGTCTTCGTCACATTGGAAGGCCAATTCCTTCATCCTGCGGTCAGCCTTGCGCATGTTTTTCTGTGTTTCAGCATGACGACGTTGTTCGTTGTCTAATTCGCTCTCCAGATCTTGGACCTAATGAGGAAATAGTCATTAAAATAATAATCAGATTACAACTGTGTTTACCGATTTTTGATAGCGGTGTAGTATCTTAGTCTATTTCTTAGTATAACAATAATAAAGAAAACAGGTTGTTATGTTTTATAATTTTTTTTTAAATAATGCTAAAATAATCGTCGATGAACTATTCATTAATACAAGATTCAGAATTTTCCCCTTTTTACTACTGAAATTTTACTTACTCTCTGTTCCAACTTGGCGATGACTTTTCTGCCTCCTTTAACACCACTCGACTCGGCTTCGTCTACACGGACATGCAATTCCTTTATGGTTATTTCCAAAGACTTTCTGATTTTCTCGATCTGAGAACTGTGTTCCTGTTCAGCTCTGAGTTCATCAGCAATTCTTGTGGTATCCATAGCGGCTCTCTTGGCCCGGTCATCGGCTGCCTTGATCTCGTTTTGAAGTTCATCCAGATCAGCCTAAGCAGGTAAGTAAATGAACCATATAAATATTATTTTATTGTTTAAACTCGAATTATTGGTGTTATTGTCATGCCAAATGTTATGCCCTTTGTGGGTCCTTAATTGGAATACAATGTTCTCCTTCTAAAAGTATACTATAGTACATTAAGTATAATCGAGTTCGACTTTGAATTTAGAACTTCAAGCATTATTGTCTTCGTAGTTTTACTTCTAATATTGAATTTCTCTCAGCCATTACGTTAAATCTTACTTTTGATTAACATTTATTTCATATTATTTTGTACAATGGAAACCACTTTTCCCTTTTCAAATTATATTTTAAAATAGTTCTATTAGTGATACATTCCAAAATAACTGGCTGGTATTTGAATAATAAATACAAATGTGCTTACAGACATGGCTTGCATATCTCCCTCAACTTTTCTCTTTTGAGCTTGTGCTGAACTGACTTGAGCGGCCAATTCGTTGATGCGATCTTGTGCTTCATAGAGTTCACTTTCAGCTGTCTTTCTTGCTCTCTCGGACTGTTCAAGAGCTGATCTGACTTCATCGATTTCGCTGACAAGAAGGTTGCAACGTCTTTCGATCAGAACGTAAGATTCACGTGACTCATCACGTGCACGTGTTTCCTCTTCGACCTTTAGAGTGAGCTCTTGAATTTGAACGATATATCTCTTAAGATTCTTTTCACCTTCGGCCTTAGCTCTGTTTGCTGTATCAAGAGCCATCTCAAGTTCATTAATGTCTTGTTCAAGTTTCTTTCTGATCCTGTGTGCCTCAGCTTTGCCCTTAGACTCTGCATCCAGACTGATTTGCATGGATTCAAGGGCTCTCTGGTGGTTGCGTCTGCAAATAAACATGCAGTTAACAAGAAAGTATCAAAGATCCTAAAATCTTCTTAGGTTTTAATTTTAAAGCATAAAACATCAAATTTTGACATTGTTTAAATGACTAATCAAGATAAGTTATTATAAATGAAAAATATTTTCATCATTAATATTAAAAAAACCTACTCTTAATATGACAGACATTCGGAAAGACATGGCAAAAATTTTCAAATGAGTAAGATTTTTTTTCTAACATACCGAGTATTTTCAAATTCTTCTTCCTTCTCATGGATTCTTCTATCAATTTCAGTTCGGATTGTAGAAATTTCCAACTGAGCACGCACAACCTTAGCCTCTTCCTGTTCCAATGCAGACTCGGCTTCTTCCAAAGCAGATTGGAGCTCTTCCTTCTCCATCTCAAGACGTCTCTTAGCTTTTTCGATCTCGTGGGAACTCCTGCCACCATCACTTAGTTGGTCAGATAACTCACGGATTTCATCTATAAACACATAATTTATATTTATTGGAATCTTCTTCCGTATTTACGATATGAATTGATTTAAGTACCATTCAAGCTCTATGTGAAATAATGAAACATTCAAGCTTGATGCGAAATAATGAAACATTCAAGCTCGATGCGAAATAATGAAACATTCAATCTCGATGTGAAATATTAATGAAAACAAACATTACAAATATGCAAACACCAATGAACATTTAAGTTGGAAATTAAAGTTTTACATCGTTACTTGAAAGTAAACCGCGCGGGTATGAAGAAAACTTTAGATAATTAGAGGACGACCATTTATTTTAAAGGTGATTAAGGGATGAATAATCATTTACACCAGATGCTAGTCCGACTTATATTTTTGGCCTCGATGAAATTGATTTTCACTTTTGAAACGCAACTGTTTCCTGCAATTTGTAAGGCAGAATACTAAAGTAATCATTTTCATTTTGTCTTGGGCAATTTTATTTTTTCAGTCTTCACCAGGCCTGGATATTCATTTTTAAATATTATTATTTGTATAACTGGGATGATGCAAAAGGAGGCAACACTTATAGCGTTACAGTATATAGTCGTTAATTTTTAGTAATTATTGATTACACGATACACACCGTGTATCCCGATCTGAAATCTCCGGAAGGGATCCAAATCACGAGGAGCAATTACACTTGTGCAATTCATAAGTAAGATCTGGATCCGATTCCAACGGAGGATTATACTCCGTGGGAATCGGAACCAGATTTTACTAACCAAGCGGTCTCGTGTAATTGGGATCCCTCCGCGGATTTTGGATCGGGATTACAGTTGAAAGGATCTAGAAGGGTGGAATTGGCAGACTAAACATCATTAAAACATCACTGAATAGTCTTTACATCTAGGTATCCAGTATGAATATTTATGACGTCATGGACATTCCACAATTGTTTTATTACTGTGATAATTTAATTTTCAATGGCGCATATATAATATATATATATAAACGCAAAAAGATTTATGCTTGAAAGAGCTTATATGTTAAAACGAGAAAATCTGCACAATCTAAACGTTATCTCTAGAAGATTGAGCCAAGTGTTTTCCTGAAAATCCGACACATTCGTGCCTTTAGTTATATAGATATCCAATATTTATTATATATAGATAGATTCACGAGCCTTAAATCCAATTATTTTCAAAATTAATAGATCTGCATTCGTATAGCTTACCAGCAAGATTTTTGTTTTCTCTTCTGAGAGCCTCAATCGTGTCATTGGTCTCTTCATACTGAGCTTTAACTCTAAAGAGTTCAGCAGAGTAACCGCGAGCCTCGGTATGAGCAGTATCAATCTCAATTTGGAGTTCTTTAACTTTGACAGTCCATTCTTGGATCGTCCTGTCAAACTGTCTTTGCTTCTTTTCTAAAGTACTGGAACTAACATTTGACTGTAAAAGTAAGATACGAATACAAATAGTTGATCAAAATGTATCTATATAATGTTTTAATTTGATTCCAAGATGAAAGTCAATTATCATGTATATTCATGTTAATTTTTTTTTTTTATTCAGTGGCCTCTGTTAAAAGAAAGATATTATCAAAATACGCGAAATTTCACTCATACTTACACGTTCGACCTCAATAAGGAGGTCGTCAAGTTCTCCTTGAAGTCTGTTTTTGGCCTTTTCCAATCCACTAGCTTTAGCATTTGCAGCCTCAGCTGCCTGTTCAGCCTCTGCCAATTTTGCAGAAAGTTTGCGTCTGAAATGAGAAAAAATACAAATAAATAATGTTCTCTTAACAATAGATTGTACTTCTCGATAATTCTTTCAAAGGAAAAGGTTTTAAAAAAATAAATTAAATCATGACTTCCTCCAAAAACACTATTAAAAAGGATATTACAATAAAATCGATAGGAAAACTATTATCATTATACATAAATTATTCTCCCTATAAACTAAGGATATACATACTTTGTCTCTTCTAACTCGTCTGTTTTGGCGGCGCCTTCGCTCTCATATTTAGATCTCCATTGTTGTGCTTCGTTCTTTGCTTTCGAGAGTTGGCGTTGGAGATCGCTCTTTGATTCCTGTTCTTCTTCTAATGCTTCACGCACTGTATCAACGTCAGCATTCAAGTTTCTAACCTCAGTCTGGAATTTCTGGCGCATCTATAGTAACAAAAAGTCACTATACAGTAAATATTTTATTAGAATATAACATGACAGTTTTAATATCAGATGTATTAACATGCAGTCCAAGGTAATGATATCAGCCCAAGAGCCGAAGACTCGAGGGCTGTTATCGGCCGGGGTCGGATAATACATCTGATATAAAAATGTCATATCATGATCTTTTTATTATATACTTCCACTTGGAAAAAATATCATTGTAAATAATGTACATATCGATTTCAACTACTCAATTTACACTGCAAGTTAGCATAAGCAGTTGAAATATTCAATTATATTTCAGAAATGTTTATCCATAAAATATTCAAACGTACTTATACTTACTAGAAATTTCACACTTATGTTTTGCACTGACAAAAAAACATTTCAGACAGACCCAAATTGCTGAAATAGTCTGAACTTGGCGGCACTTTCATAGAGCATACCAAAGTTTTAAAACTTTGAAAACCAAGCATAATAATATAGCATTATCTGTTTTGTATTTTTCATGATGATATTTTATGTTTCTTGATATTGTTTTTCACAGTTAATGAATATTTCATATCAGCGGGCTAAGCACTATTTTGAAAAAAAATATGGAATTAACGTTAATTGAATGCCATTACCATACTGTAAAAAATATCAGTTGTTAACTCATAGTATACGATAACAAATGATATCGATCTCTGTTAGGTCAAAAAAACATTCTAGACCCAAGTGGATAGTAAAAAAGAATTCAGATAGTGTTTCAACTGGTAATGCATCGGCCATTCATCTTCCTTTTTTTTAGGGGGGGGGGGGGGGGGGGGGGATAAAATAATCATTCAGAGGGGAAGTGTAAAACAATTTGTTTCCATAAAATTAGGAAGAAAATAAATACAACATTTAGTTTCAAGAATTTATTTATTCGTGTATGTTATTGAAAAATTAGTTTGTTTTTTGCTAAAGTAGAAAAAGTTGTTTGCTCAGAGAAAAATAGAAAATTTTTCAAAAGAAAGCAAGTTTGACAGTAATTCTTTGTCATACGTAAAGTAACCAATCTTAAGCATTTGTATGGTAAGGAAATGAAAAATACCAACATTTTGCATGTTTAATAAATAAGAACTTACCCTTGTTTCCTCTTCAAGTGCACGTTTGGATTCTTCTAATTGATGGCTAAGGGCAGATTTGTCCTTGGTCAAACTACCAATGGTGTGTTCAGCATCTTCCAGTTGTCGGTTAATTTCAGTCACTTCATTTTGAAGTTTGGATTTCTGTGAATTGATTTCACCAATTGTTCTCTGGGTTTCTTCAACTTTGAAGGTCATTTCTGAGATTTGGGACTCATACTGTTTGGCTACCTTGTCTGAAACACCCTTATTTTTCATGGAATGAGAAAATTGACTTTGGACATCATCGAGTTCGCGTTTAAGATCTTTTTTCTCCTTTTCTAATCTTGATTTCAGTTTGTTCAATTGGTCGATCTGGTCAGCCATCTCGTTGGAAGATTCTTGCTGTTTCTTTCTGAACTGAGCAACTTGAGACTCATTTTGGAGTGTCATTTCCTCCATTTCACGGCGGAGTCTCATCAATTCTTGTTCACGTTTTTTGTTGAGGTCCATTTGAGCCTGTGTAGCACCGCCTTGCTCTTCCAGTTGAGAACTAAGCTCGTCCAATTCCCTAGCCAGTTCATTGCGTTGTTTCTCAACCTAAAACAATGGAATATTGTTAACATGCTTTGTCGCATAAAGTACATTATCAAAAAAGTTCAGAAATATATTGAATTACAACTTGTTTTGTTGTAACCTGGAGATATATATATACCCTTTCAACTGACCTATTACTTATAACATGATTATAGTTATAATACAAGAATTCTACATTGACATACTTTAGCTCTTGCAGCTCTCTCGGCTTCCAATTCTTCTTCCAATTCCTCAATAATTTGTTGAAGTTCCTTAATTTTCCTGCTTTGACTTGCATTAACTCCCTCACAGTCCTCGATTCTAGAATTCAAACTGTTGAGCTCGGTATCTTTCCTAAAATTACAAATAATTGCACATTCCTTTAAAATTAGAAACAGAGATACATTATGAATAATTTGACAATAAATTTTATTAAGAAAACAGTCCAATACGCCAATTTTACTGCATAAAACACTTTCCTAGATTAACTTGTAGGAATGGTACGAGGCAAATGTTTATTAAGACATATGTGTTTAAATGCATTAAACACAAACGAAGGAGGTGGAAAACCGAGTACTGCTTATGGTCACATTCGTTTTAGGTATTAGAATCTTATATATCATTATTATCACCATAGAAATGTGATAACAAAAGACATTACGTATATACCTCCTGTTTGCTTCTTCCATTTCCCTCTTTACGCCTTCTAGTTCTTCTACAACTTCTTGTGTTGCCTTCAAGTCCTGTTCAACTTTACGTTTGGCTTTCTCAACATCCCCTCTTACTTTCTTTTCCCTCTCTAAGTTATCTTCGAACTCGTCAAGAGTACTTTCAAGTTTTGCCTTCAGTTTGTTGAGATGATTTACTTTGTCTTCTTCCTTTTGTAGATCTGCAAGTGTCTTTTTGTTAACTTCTTCCAAGTTTTTCTTTTCTTTACTTAATTTGCTAATTTGTTCGTCTTGCTGTGCCATCTCACCTTGGAGAGTCTTGATTTGGTTGTCCTTGTGGGTCTTATCTTGTTCAGCCTATTTAATAATAAAATCAATACCCAAAATCAATATCATAATCAGACTCAGAAAACTGAATCAAACGATATAAATAAAAACCAAAAACCACAATGAATTTTCGGATCATATTCACTTAAAGCCTTTTCATGCCTTCATACTGAAAAAATGGCTATCTACTATAATTAAGGAATATAATTCATGGTTACCTTGGCCAATGTTGTCTCGAGATCTTCGATGTCTCTCTTCAACTCAGCATTTTCACCTTCCATTTTCTTCTTCAAACCTTCCAGTTCAGAAGCAGCATCTTCCTCATCAAGTAAACGTTCTTCCATTTCTTTCATTTGTGATTCGAATTCAGCTTTCTGTGTGATAAGTTGCTCTACTCTTTGTTCAAGGTCAACAACATTATCTTGCTCAGATTGCAGTTGTAAATACATGTCATTCTTCTGTTCCAACAATTCAACGTTTTTAATTTCAAGTTCTTTCTTGATCTTTTCAATTTTGGCTAGATCCTCTTCCATTTTCTTCATCTCTTCGAGTTTCTTCTGCATTTCTTCCTCTTCACGGGCAATGTTCAGCATAGGTTTGACTTTGGCGTACATCTTCCACCACTGCCAGTTGCGGAGTAATAACCATTTTCTGATGTTACGCTGGATGACAGACAGACCAACTCTAATGTAAACAAAGAAAAAGTAAGGATCTTATGTAAATCAAGATTAAGATAGATAGGAAGGTAGGGATAGTCTTGTTTAACATTATCAATTACAACTAAAAGGAAAGGACATTTTAGGTAAAATAAATTCGAATAGGAGCAAAGACGAACATTTTTATCCCAAGTAAAGACTTTCATTACAATATTTTTTACCTCGAAACACTAATTAAAAAAGAAAAAAAAACTAGCTTGAAATAATGATCTTATTAACATATGTATTTAGTATTTTTCTTTTGTATTCAATTGTAATGATGGTCTAATACACCATTAAGTATTAACCTTTGATCCTGAAGTTTCTTGTATGCCTTCCTGATCAAAAAGGCTCTGATGTGGGCTTGCATCATGGAAATGATTGCACCAAGACGTTCATCACGCATATTTTCTAGGTTACCCAAAACACCGGCTTTGAAGAAGACTTTAGTGTTTCCAAGTTTGTATTCTGCTGGATCCAGCTGCAAAGCCAAAAGTACTTTTTCTGTGACAACTTTGCCGTCAACAAATCCCTGTGGTACAGCACTGGCAGCCAGAATTGAGTATCTTTGTTTGAACTCTGCATATATGATTCTGCTTGGGTATCCTTTACGACAGATACGAATACCTTCAAGTACACCGTTACATTGGAGCTGATTCAATACCAAAGCGGCATCAATAAGACCTGGAAACAATGAGAAATACAGGTATTATCTTTCTAAAGAAGCATGCCACGCCCAATGATTACTCTTCTGGTAATAATTGTAATCATTATCATATATTCCCCGCAGAGAAAATTTAAAACATTTAATGAAAAGATTTCAAAATTATTTTCTATATCTGGAAATTCAATGAATGCATACAAATTAATTATTTTCTGTATCTTTCAACTTTTAATTTATTCTTATATTTACAGTGGTCAATTTGATTCTGGTATTGTTATATATTTTTTAAACCGGGCTTAAGGACACAATAAGCGCTTTTTGATATGACATTTTAAAATAATCTCCACATACTTTTCTTTAACGAATATAGCTGGTATATAACGGATTTTTGTAGCTCGAACCCTAGTGGTATGGCAATTAATTCAAATGTTCGTCCTGAATATTCATGAAATATTTGCCACTGGACGTTAAGCAACCAACAATCAATCAATCAATCAATCACATGTTCAATGGTATATTGTATTGTTAAGACTTACCTGGTTGTTTCAATTCGTTTGGAATGATACATCTGACGAAATGAGGATGGGTGGCGTACAAGTTCTTCATCAATTTGTTCAAAGATTCCTGTGAAAATGAAATAAATAATGCCAGAAATCTATATTGTTATTATTTTAAACAATTTCAAGATGTAAAAACTAGAGATTTCTTCGCAACTATTTAATTCTGTGAATAACAATGGCTATATTAAGTATGTTTCAAGTCTTTTAAATGATTTTGATTTATATATAAACAGACGACCTCAATAATACAAATTAGTGCAAAACTCTGAATGTTGATATTTGACAACAGATTTGTACACAATTCGGGTTGATTATGTAAAACAACATAAAAACAAATATAAGATTTTCAATGATTATTTGACATTTCAAAGGGCTGAAATACAAACATCCCTATAGACTGACTTACCCTGTGTACAGCAGAGATGGTCTGGAAAGCAGACGACTTCTTCTTCTTCTTAGGTCCACCACTTCCTTCAGCAGGTGTTTCTGCTGCAAAGAGGGTCTGAACTAAGTGCTCCTTTGATTGTTGCAACAATGCTACTACAGTTTCGTTGATAGGATCCTTGTTTTTGTCCAACCATCCCTTGAGATTGTATGGTACCTTTGGTAATTGAGATAAATGAATAACTTTATTTTAATAACTTTAATAATTTCAATAAATGTAACAATTGAAAATAAAGACGTGTAGACAGATATATTGGTTTTCCCATATAATTGGTGTGTCATTAAACTTTGATATTGTTATTTTCTCATTTATATGGTTTGTCATTAAACGTTCTAATAAAAAGTTCTGCAGTTCCACTGAACTGAACTATCCTGTTTCTATGACTATACTTACAATTCCGGCGTAATGGTGGAGTTCAAAGTCGCCATTCGCACCCTTGGCTGCCTTTCCTGGTTTGGTGAAGTTGGGTGATTTACCCATGTGGTTGGAGAACAACATTTCCTTTAAGGACTTGTCGTCAGCTTTAGGGAACATGCACTGTTCTTCAAGGATGGATAAGATACCCATTGGCTTCTCGATGAGATCGATACAGGCTTGCAAGTCCATACCAAAGTTGATAAACTCCCACTGGATTCCCTCCTTCTTATACTCCTCCTGCTCTAGTACAAACATGGTGTAGTTGAAGAACTGTTGAAGTCTCTCATTGGTGTAGTTAATACACAATTGTTCGAATGTGTTGAACTGCAAAAAAAAATAAATTGATGAAATACTAACGTGTGTTAAGTTGTCTTCCATCTCATTTCATTTCATAATCAGGATGAAGACTAGATATAACTAGAGGCTCTAAAGAGCCGGTGTCGCTCACCTTGGTCTATGTGCATATTAAACAAAGGACACACATTATAGACAAGAATAGAATTCATGACAAAATTCTCTGTTTTGGTGATGGTGACTTGTTTGTAGATTTTACTTTACTGAACATTCTTGCTGTTTACAATTATCTCTATCTATAATGAACTTGGACAGTTTCACAGGAAAATATTTTTGTAAAAGTTTACAAAAATTTACGAAAAATTGTGAAAAATTGACATTAAAGGGCAATAACTCCAGAAGGGGTCAATTGACAATTTTGATCATGTTGACTTATTTGTAGAGCTTACTTTGCTGAACAATTTTGCTGTTTACAGTTTATCTCTATCTATTATAATATTCAAGCGATAAACCAAAAACTGCAAAATTTCCTTAAAATTACCAATTCAGGGGAGGGGTTGTTTGATGCATTTGAAAATTTCAGGGCAGATAGATCTTGACCTGATGAACAATTATACTCCTCTCAGATTTGCTCTAAATGCTTTAGTTTCAGAGATATAAGCCAAAAACTGCATTTTACCCCCGTGTTCTATTTTTAGCCATGGCGGCCATCTTGGTTGATGGGCGGGGTCATTGGATGCATTTTTTAAACTAGATACCCTAAGGATGATTTAGGCCAAGTTTGGTTTAATTTAACTCAGTAGTTTCGTCGAGTCAAGTGATGAGAAAAGCTCAATTGGCCCTTTTGGGCCAGGTGAGCTAAAAAGGATTTTCCTTTCATATATTTGGTTACTTTCTAGTATTTCATTATGTTTCTTTTTCTATGTTATTACATTGACACAATGCAAATAGTATGACATGCTGGTTTTCATGCAGGCAGTTCCAATTTTTAAACTTTAATCAGAAATTATTTGTTGCTTTGAATATAAAATTAGAATAAAAAAAAAGGTAAGTATGATAAACATAAAAAAACCACTTACATCAAAGATTTCAAAACCTGCAATATCTAGTACACCAATATAGTAATTTCTCTTGTTTTTTGTATCAAGACTGTGGTTGACTCTCTTCACTAGCCAGTTGAACAGACGATCATACAAAGATTTGGACATGGCACTGACGGAGTTGACGACTTGATCTTTGGTACGAGACTGTGCGACTACCTCTGTACCGACCTTGATCTTTGGCTTAACCAGAGATTTAATGAAATCGTTTGAATTAACTCCTAAGAGGAATGAAACTTTTTCAGCCTCTGTGGTGCCGTCAGGTTCAGCTTGTTCGCCTCTCTGTTTGAATTTCATTTCACCCATGTGCAAGATAGCGGCGGTACACTTGTAACAACTCTTCTTCTCATCGGCTGTGAAGCCCAGGATGTCGAAAGCTTCCTGAAAAAGAAAAGAAGTTTAAATATTTTAAGCTATATTATTTCTATTTAATTTGCCGATCGTGCAAAAATTACAAGTAGACAATTGCTTCAGAACATTACCCTGTGTTATTTGATGAACATAGGGGCAGAGTCTAAGAAGCCATTTCAATTTGTACAAGTATTTAAGTAAGGTATTGTCTTATGTTCTTTGAAAGGTTCCTCGTAATCTGCTTTGATTTCATATCAATAACAGTAGAGGATAAATTAACGAAAAAACTTCTTCATTTGCTGAACTACATATAAGATAAAAATAAGTAGATGTGGTATGATTGTCAATGAGACAACTCTCCACAAGAGACCAAATGACGAGGAAGCTAGCAACTATATGTCACCGCACGACCTTCAACAATGAGCAAAAGCTTTACCGCAGCCTGCTATCCAATTTGAATATATAGATCTCATCGAAAATCGAAAATCTGTGGTTAGAATTAAAGCGCGTTGATTTTGGAAAGTCTAATTGTTTTTGTTGTACTTACGTCCATAAGCTTCATTTCCTCATTATCATCAATGGAGTCGACGGTCAGAGCACCTTGGTTGATAAATGTATAAAGAGCTGGATCTGGGGTAAGTAACATCATTTCATGTTGGTCTTTCATGGCAGGTGTCATCAGCTGATAGAAAACGTGATAATTTCTCTCGGCAGATAAGCAGAAAGTAACACGAGATTTCTCCAGCAGATCTGTTGGGGAAAAATAAGTTAGTGTAATACAATTTTAAAATAGACATCTTTAGAAATAATTTTACTAGTATATATTGAAGAAAGCGGCTCAAATGGCGTATATCCTTTGAAATCTAGACACTTTATTTATGAGTGAATGAAAGTATGAAATTTTCTGAATTTGTTCTATAGCAAAATATTTCAGAAACATATAAAAACTTACATGTTTCAATATCAGCACCAGCAATTTTACCATCAGGACCAAAGTGAATTCGGATAAACTTTCCCTGTAAAATAAAAAGGAGATAAAGGAATGCACATGTATATAACCCTTTTAAGATTTCTTTTCAAACGCAATTTCAGCATCTCGCAAAGGAAAACAAAATATATGATTACTATTAAATTACACTATATGTTTCGACACAAAATTCATTGAACTTTTTTGTTAAATTAAAGGATTAATATTTCGATCGATTGATTGGTTGATGGGTGTTTAACGCTTTTTTCAGCACGCTTGTATTTTATTTGTGGATAAATATACATATAACTTGAATTTATTGGTATTATTATATAGGTTTTAAAAGACTTAATGCCGATAATAACAAGTTAACACGGCAAGCAGTTCGAGCATACTTACGAATCTAGATGAGTTGTTATTTCTGGTAGTCTTGGCATTACCGTAGGCTTCAAGTACAGGGTTAGCCTGTACAATCTGATCTTCCAATGAACCCTTCAAATGTACAAATACATGTTTTAATTTATGATGAACAGAAATCTGGATTCCTAAATTGAATTAAAATTTGAAAAGAAGTAAGTGCTAAGCAAATTCCATATAGATATTGACTATTGCATTTAATTTTCAGCTCTTAAATGTTTTACAGTTCAAACTGACAAATAATATAAATGATAACATATAAAAATCAGAAGATATGGTACGATTGCCAATGAGAAAATTCTCCACCAGAGACCAAATGACGTCGAAATTAACAATTATGGATCACCGTACGGCCTTCAACAACGATCAAAACCCATACCGCATAACATGCCCATACCGCATAACATGCCCATACCGCATAACATGCCCATACCGCATAACATGCATGAATATTCACCTTCTTGGAGGCTGCGTCTTCCTCTTCTTTCTCTTTCTTCGCAAGAGAGGCGGCGACCTTGGCGAAGTACATAATAACTTTTTTGGTGTTTTCTGTCTTTCCGGCACCGGATTCACCTCTGTAAGAGAAAGTGATTTGATTTACATGAAATCGATTTTATATCTTTAGAGCTAGAAACTATGTTATGTAAAGTACTAATGATCAAGGAGTAAGAAAACATTATGAATGATGTATATGTACATGAGAAAGAGAACAAAAGATTCAAAATTATCACATTTTTTGTTCAACTGTATTTTAGAATTTTTGAGGGCTAGAAAAGATTTTAAGGTGGCTAAATGATAAAAAATACAGCAACATGTGTTTTCAGAACTTACGTAATCAAACAAGACTGGTTTTCACGATCTTGTAACATGAACTGGTAAGCATTGTCAGCAACAGAGAACAGATGGGGAGGCATCTCTGTCTTCCTTTTTCCCTTGAATTTAGCAACAACGCTGTCTGTGTAGATTGGGAGACGTCTGTAGGGATTTACGGCAACACAGAAAAGTCCAGAGTAGGTCTGCAAATTATAAATAAATCTACATTATTTTGTCTAAACTATGTTTTACCTATATGATTCCTATATCCATTGATTCATTTCTTTTATTCATAAATGTATTAACAATTATAAATGCTTCTTTTTGAAATACTACAGGTTTGTAAAAGCGTTGATCGTGCGCACGTCTTTAGTATGAAGCGCGGATTACATTTTTAAGCTACAACCATGAAATTACGAGTTATAGCACATTTTTCGTTTGTTTTAATATGCATTGTTTTGACGTTGTCATGAGAAGCACGTGCTGCCATGAATGCTGAATACAACTTGATATTGGAATGCATTGCGATAGCTTTCAGCCAATCAAAAGTGCAGATTCTTAAAAAACATCCATGTAATTATGTAATTAAATGGCCATAAAGTTTGAGAGAAAAAGAAATCATGGGATGATAAGGATTTTTTTTACTTTGTCATTAAGATTAAACTCTAATTAGATATTAATGTAAAGTACAACGAGAAAGAATTTATAATTGTTCTGCAGTATTCACTGATTTAAAAACTTACGTAAATAAGTGAGTTGGAATATCTAGCTCTCAGATTGTGAAGTACAGAAGCTTCGTTCAAATATGTCATGTTTGCCATGTCTTCAATCATTTCATATTTTGGTGGATTCATCTGTTGGATGTCATCTTTTTTAACTGTTCTGTCCTGTAAAGAAGTAAAACATATTATTTAGTAAAGTCTGTCGTAGCATGGTTGATTGTTGGATGAATGCTGAACGTCTAGCGGCAAACATTACACGCATCTCCAAGAAAATTGTATGTTAAGGTGAGAGGGTCGTGAAAATTAGCGTATTACGTCTATTTCCAGGGTCTTTTAATGGACCAAATTACAACATATCGCGCGTGAATTATCTTCTAGCATTTCGCATTTCAAGTTACAATGTAAAATTACATTTTTTTGACATCACAGCCATCCAAAACAAATGTTGTCTAACGTATTCATTAATTTTTCATTATAAATTTTTCACATTTTTTGAAAACACGAACCGATAAAAGGGACGTAGATTTTCGTATTAGAGTTTCTATTCGGAATTGATCCACCTTTCTTCAAAAGATTGCGTTATTGAATTGAGAGTCAAACTATCGACTGTGTGTGAATAATGATGGATTTGCGCATAATATTATAGTTTCAGTTCAAAAATAGATGAGCATGAAAATATGATCTTCCGAAGTTGTTAGTTATTTAAATAGCTCCTTAATATAATAAAAACTCAAATATTATAAAAGAAGATTTTCGAGTTTTAAATTGAATATTTACTGAAACAAGTCAAAGATGAGCGTCTGGGACGGTCAATATGTTTAATATTTTAGGACACGATGAATAATATCATTATGATAACATGATTATGTACAGAACACATTTCTTGTGCTTCAATAACAAGCATTTTAAAAAGGACATCATATAATAAAACCATACATCCAATAATAAAACCATGAGTATTCTCAATTTTAATGAAAAACGTATAGTTTGACTTGCAAATAGATATTGTCACTCTATCTTTAAACAAATTTATCACATCTAAGTCTCATTACGAGTTAATCAAAAATGAAAATTTTCGTTCTAAATCCATAAGTAAACAAAAAAGTAGTGAAGAATAGGACAAATTTAAGACTGTACCTGCATAGAATCGATACATTTTACTGTAATATCATCTCCTTTAGAGGACTGAATTTCAGCCTTTACAAATCCTTCTTTATCGTCGGGAATCCAGCACATTTTCTTGCCATCGAACTCCTTGGTTTGCTCCGCCATTAATTTCTTCCTATCCACCATTAAGTATGGATAGTCCGGATCTTTGGGATCAATTTGGGACGACATCTTGATAAAGCGAAAGTGCTAAGGAGACTTTTTATACTCTGGACAAGTCCGTGTTGATTTGCAGAGACAGCTCTAGATAACTCTGCAAAGAATAGCGCTAAATGTTAAGGGTTTGTGAAGAAGAAAATTGGTTATTTATTAAACTATACAGGTGTTAGTATATTAGTTTTCTGTGTAAAATCAGAGTTTATAAGGGATAATAGGGGTTTTTCCCCAGGGAAATCATTCATTTCAATATGGTATATCACATTTATCCATGAGTTACCGGTACTATAATACAAATCAAATGCAAAATAAGAAAAGAAATCACATTCAAATTTTAGATTCCATTAGATTAATCCTTTCCATAAAGTATTTATGAGAAAGAAAATTAATCTTGAAAGTCCTTAAACTTTCACATTAAAGATGTATATAGTACAAAGGTATAAGGGTATACGGGTTTTGGAATGAAGGGTTACACACTATACTTACAAGTCTAAAGCTGTTCTGGTGCTCGGATCAAGGGTTTCTTTAGTTTTATACTTAGGCACGGACACCAATTAATTCCCTGTTATCTGATTGGCTTATCTTTGTCATTGATCGGTTTTTGGAAACCCATGAGAATACTAATATGGATATATCACCTTACTGTAAACCACGTGTTTGTCATCATTTGGGTTATCGTCGACTTTCACATTATGTTAATTAATGCACAGCCAAATATTATACATCGGGGGTGTTAATTATCTCCAGATATTGATGTTTCATCTGGCAGTCAATCACTGATCCTCACTACCAAGCATACAATCTTTTAACCCTATGTTCACTGGATGTCGTATTTTTGGGAATATGATTTGTTTTTAATATTTTCTTAACATATGAATTATGGAATTAATATTTTCTTTATTTAATAATTAAGGTACACTTTAAAGTATGAAAATGATAGAAAAAGAAATAAATTCGTTATTCTGCATAAGAAATATACAATCTGTTTTACCAGATTTTCGAATCTTTTATATTGGCCTGCTTATCTTGTATTTTACGTGTAGTTTACTTTCATAAAAGAATCATGTTTAACGTGTTAAGTTATTTGTAACTTTAATTCTTCTTTTAAATCTTGTCTCATAGAAATTGTTTCAAGTCTTGTTCATGTGCTCCTAGTCTCTGTCAACATATATTTCATTTTATGCAGGAATAAATTCCGCCTTTTAAACCATTTATAATAAGTCTACAAATAAGTTATTTGACCTTGGATCGTCTAACCTCTTTGCAATAAGCATGTGATATTTATGCTTTCGTGACAATACTTAATTAATGAAATATTCAAGGATTATATGTTAGTTTGCCATAAATAATGTTTGCTTTGGTTGGGTACATATTCTTTCTTTTACTTCTAGCATCTTTCATTTTACTCTATTGTGCGTCTTTGTCTTTCATCTTTTCTTTAATTGTATAAAAATAAGAGCCTGAAAAAGAGAGATTTCTTATTTCACTCTTCGTGCTGTCAAACGTGCCAACATAAAACAAATCTGCTCTCAGTTTTGCAATAACTAATTGTCTATCAATAAGATGGGAATACTTTACAATTTAGTACATGTGGTATTAATGATCTGTATGTCAGAACTTAAATGGCTTCTAAAAAAAAGTACGAGTGCACAATACAGTCAATGTTCTGGTTTATATATACATGTATACCTATTTTATAATATTTGATTATATTAAAAAGATTTGACATTGATTGTTGCTCTGCATAGCTTAACAGGAATAATGAGTAAAACCAGAAACTAAGGATTATATCCAGTAAGACCAGACCGGCCCTCGAAAACGTTTAACAACATGCATAAATATTGTTAATTACTTTCATTTACTAAGTAAACCAGTGTAAATATAGACAAATCACGCACAAGTGTAGACATTAAAATCTGAAGCAACTAATCGCTATTAATCGCCATGATATTCCGGTCGTAGAAAAATAATGTTCGGTAATTATTTCGCTGCGGCAATAACAAATATTGTAAAACAGGTGGTATAGGGTACCTTCCTCTATTACACAAAATACTCTATATTTTGATTTTGATTCTTAGATTCTTATGAAATAGGACACATGTATTGCTTTTGATTAACAAAGATTCCTTGCGTGATCTTGTCCTTTCTGTTTATCGCGTCATACAGTGGGTAAAATACAAATAAACAAGTTCAGCTTTACTATTCCTAATTGTTTATAGCGAACATATTATATGCAAGAAAAGAAAGATGTATGGAAGAAATCAAATTTCAATCTTGTTTAACTTAAATGGTTATTTATATAACTGTTCACTCCTGTCATTTTCAGACTAGTGAGGTGTAAGCACTTGCAAGATGTAAATACCGAAAACATTATATACATTATAGAATATATGATATTTATGTACGAAATGTGTTAGTGTTTATTCCTTCTGTTGCTTCATACTGTTTCTTCAAACGTACACTACTCGTTTCGTCATAACTGATAATAGTATACATGTATTAAAATTATCAACAACAAAATATATTTTTTTTTATGGAAATGAAAGAATTAATTTGGTCAAAGTTAAAGGAGGTATTAAGTAAAGGCTGTAATATGGCTCCAACGAAACAAGATCGGTTAGATTTTTATTCCAAAAAACTTGGTCAGCAATTAACATTTGTTTGTGTGTTTTATATACAGCGGTTACTTTTTTTTCTGTATTTAATTTTACTTTTATAAATAAAGCATTACTTTTATAACCTCCATTGAAGCGTATGGATAAAAAGACTTAAAATAAATATAAAAATAAAAGGGTGTGATATGATTAACAATGAGACAACTTTCCACCAGAGACCAAATGACGTAGAAGTTCAAGTTGAAGTTGGCAACTATATAGTTCACCGTACGGTCTTCAACAATGAACAAAACCCATACCGCATAGCAAGCTGTAAAAGGCCCATACATGAAAAATGTAAAACAATTAAAACGAGGAAACTAGAGGCCTGATATAGGCACCAAACATTAATGAAAAACAAACATGATACATAGCAAGAAATGACAACCACTGAATTACAGACTACTGACTTTGGACAGGCATATACAGAATGTTGCAGGGTTGAAAAAGTTTGCGGGAATCCAACCCTCACCATGACCGGGGACAGTGAGAGACAGCACAACATAAGAACAAACTATAGACATCAGTTGAAAAAGGCTAAACTCATTTGATAGAAACAAAACACACGAAAAACTAACAAAGGGACTCAGGACACAAAGTATGAGAGTACTCGTAGTTACTGAAAGGTACAGTTCAAAGCCAATAACTTTGAATAAAAGACTGTTTTCAACTATATAGAGGTCCTCTCGTGTTCTATACATGATGCTTCACATTAATATGTCCGTGGTTAAATCTGATGTAGCATACTGGTTTCTTCTCATCCAAAAACAGCTCTTTATTTTATTCAAAATAAATACAGTGGATAAAAAAAAACATTTTTTTCCTACTTAACAGTTATTTTCTTCTACCCAAACAATTTGTGATATAAAAACAAAATTTGAAAGTGATATTATTTTGCATTGAAAATAACGTTAGCCATCTGTTGTTTTTGTTGCTATTGCAATTATTGTGTACTAGTCTACCAATGAGGTTGTATAGCCTTCTATACCACCTCCTTGGTACTACTAATGTTAAGGGCTTGAGCAACTAAGGAACGTTTATACTCTCGGGAAGTTTAGAAATTACTTTTTTTGATTTAATAACATGCATTACTTTGAGATGATATATATTGCAATTGTATCACATATTTGCTGTTTGGAATCATATTGATATATATAACTGCATTTGTATTTTCTACATTGTCCTCATCTTCTATTTATGATATACGTATAATTGTATCTAAATATTGTAAACATTTGGTAAATAAAGATAATACTTATACTAATAGTTTTATTATACCTAATCGTAGGAGTCATTACAAGTGTATCAAACAATTAATGGATCCAGACAATACAATTTGATTATGATTATTAATACATATAACAAACAATAATTAATAGTTACTGAACAATCAAGACGGTATGGTATATATTAGCTAATCTGCACAGGTGACTGTACTTGACCCGAACGTCAAGAGTCAGATAGGCAAACGGTTCTTCGACTAACATATACCGATTTGATTGGTCATCAATTTACTTGAACGTTTTGGCGATATTTTTTTTTCAAGTAAACATTGTCTTATAATCGGACGACATTGTCAATTCTTGGCTCCCGTATATGGAAACTGAAAAATGTCTTCAAGTAGTAAATGTTGGTAACTTTTTAGATTATTAACGTTTTTAATGTTCAGGTTTTGTCCTTAATTGTGACTGGTCACCCTATTTGGAAAATTGGGTTTTGATGGCAAATAATTGATTGTTTCTGTTAAATTTATTCACAATTTTCTATAGATTCAGGACGATTTAGAGCTTACCTTTGTGTATCCACCTGTCAATTGTTTCAGTGCTGTATATATACTATAATAGATGTTCTTTTGTTATTTTTGTCGCTGTGTTGCTGTCTCATTAACATTAACACCACTTCTCTTTTTATATTATAGTTTCAGTTATTTGATGTACTTCATGATCAGTTCCTGAATATTTGTTCTCAAAGCTTTTGCCCTTCTTATTACAAATAAAGGATTCAGTTATTTGATGTACTTCATGATCAGTTCCTGAATATTTGTTCTCAAAGCTTTTGCCCTTCTTATTACAAATAAAGGATTCAGATAATCACAGAATTCAGAATATAATTGCATGTCATCATTTTGACATTAGCCAAATTAATAGATCATCTTTATGTTACTTTTTTCAAGTTATGAAACTTATCAAAAAGGTTATTAAGATAATAAGATATGGTTTTCTAATATTATATATTAGATAAAGGGCATGAAAACAAGTTATATCTACAACAGTATAGAGTGAGCAAAACTGGCATTTTCTATTTTTCTAGGCAATACAATAACTTTTCCTTGACCTGTCTGTTCCAATACATACCCTTAGTTGCCATAGTTGTATTACTGTTTACTGTTGTTTGTGTCTGTAGATCAGGCCGTTTGTTTTCTCGTTTGTATTGTTTCACATTATAGGAATATCCACATGATTATTGTTAATTGATTGATTTATTGTTTCAGATCTCCATCATTTCTGATGTCAATTAAAGATATGAGAAAACAGACAGTGTTGTACTCATTTACACATTTTGCCACGCAGGGTCCTTTTTATAGCCTACTACATACGCCATGGGTTTGTTCAGTGTTGAATTCCATACGGCGAGCCATAGTTGAAATTATTCAAAAATATAATATTATATTGAAATTGTGTGTGTTTCTGTATGTGTATGTGATTCTTAATTTCTAAACATCGCGAAAAGGGGGGGGGATAAACTGTTGACACATGGAGAGAAAACTTTACTTTCATTTTGATAAATCACGTTTTTAGCTCGACTATAAGTGAGTACTTTTACATCGGATGCAGTGTAACGATTTTCGAACTATGAGGACCTGTCGCTATTTTCACAAAAAT